TGCTGCCATGATGGTGAAGCCTGGCGTCACGACAGAGGAGATCGACCACGCCGTTCATCTGGTATGGCAGCAGAAACACGCAGAGCAGAACGATTTCCCTCTGCTGAGTCCCTGAGAGACACATGGAAAACTATCAGCTGCTGGTTCTGCTGGTTCTGGGTCTGCGCCCACCAGCTGCTGGTTCTGTGTGTTCCAGGCCTGTGTGGCGAGGAAGTGCTACCCGTCTCCTCTCAACTACTACAACTTCCCCAAGTCCTGCTGCACGTCTGTCAACGAGGTGATCTGCCACGGCATCCCGGATCGGAGAGCTCTGCAGGACGGAGACATCCTCAATGGTGTGCTGGGCGGGGTGGGGGCGGGGGGCCGGCGGGGGGGTTATTAAGGGTATTAATGATGAAGGGTTTCACTCTGATGATGAATGTTTTATCCAGTTTTGGCCTCTTTCTGCAGCCGCTTGGCTCCCGCCGCTCTGCTCTGACAAGACGGATCGTTTCATGATCCCTCCTTTCTGCTAAACTCCAGTCTGGAGCTGCAGCTTCTGATGATTGATCGGATAAAACATTTCCACATTCTGCAGATTTTTAATTTTAACTTTACTCTTGAGCCTTTTCTTATACATAACAAATATATTATTCAGCCTGGCCAGTTCTTCACCAATATCAGCAAATGACTGCATTTTTTCCCACCAATGATTAATTCAGAGTTTATTGCAAAAGTGTTTGCACTAAACAAACACTTTGTTTATTCAACCCAAAGTGAAGTGACTTCAACCCGAATCACTTCACTTTGGGTTGAAGTGATTCCAACTCCCACCTGCAGGTGGCAGTATTTACGACTGCCGTCTCAGCCTGACTTCAAGTGACAAGTTACAAAATTAACATTTAGTGAAAATGTAGAACCACAAAATCAGTGAGCTTGACTGGAAAAAATCACAACAATCGCAAAGTCCAGGAGGAACTGATTAAAAGATGTGAATGAACAAATAATTCCTTTTTTACATGAGAAATAAACATTTTATAACATCATTCCTTTAGAAAACGCTTCATAATTTGTTGCAAAGCATGCTGGTTATGTTTTTACAGTCTGTATCCTCCACTTAACAATCCATTGATAACTAAATTAGTGGACACTCATACCTGTAATTGATTGATCTGGTTAATTGTTTTTGCCCTCGTTGAGTCGGACATGTTTGTCTTCTGCAGTGGACATCACTGTCTACCATAACGGTTTTCATGGCGACCTGAACGAGACCTTCTTCGTGGGCGAGGTGGAGGAAGGAGCCAAGAGGCTGGTGCAGACGACGTACGAATGCCTGATGCAAGCCATCGACTCGGGTATGAAGGTGCGCCGGCGCCGTGTGTTTGGTGTCTGATGGTGTCTGACCCCAGTGTCGCCCCCACCCACAGTGAAGCCCGGGGTGCGCTACCGGGAGCTGGGGAACATCATCCAGAAGCACGCTCAGGCCAACGGCTTCTCCGTGGTGCGCAGCTACTGCGGCCACGGCATCCACCGGCTTTTCCACACGGCGCCCAACGTCCCACATTACGCCAGTGAGTCGCAGCGCGAAGCTACGGCAGGCCAGTTTAACATAAAATCACCACATTCCACAGATCTAAAAGTGAATTTTACCACATGCATTTTAATCAAAACATATTGACAAAATATGCAACATCTTCAGTTCAGAAACTTCTTGTGAGAAAACTAAAATCTTCAACGCTTTAAAGTCCCAGCCATGATTATTTTATATAGAAATCAAGAATGTGATGCCACTGAGCTGTCCGATCAGTTGCTGCACAATTTTGGGTTTTCTGCATAAAATTGCCTAAAAATGTCTCCATATACACAAGTTAGACTGCTCCAGAAATCTGAATGTTTTCTGTCCTGTTTATCATGAAACTGAAGTAAAAAACATGGTGGATACAAGAAGAGTGCTTTTATGGTGCTTCGCTCTTCCTATCACTAGTTTCACTCTCAAGATTTTAAATTCTGCTTCCTCGAGCTGAAAAAGACTAAATTGTTTAGCCAGAATATAATTAAAGATATCTTAAAGAGCCAGTATTGTGTAAAATCAACTTTTTGATCTTTCCATCATTTTTTAAATGTTTTTCCCTCATCAAAAACAAACCTGCAGTGTTTCTTTGATTCTTTCATGTTTGACAAATACTTTTGTTTACATGGCAACCATTCAGCTGTGAAAAACACCTGGGTGGACCTAGCCCCGCCCTCGAGGCGCAGCTCCTCCCCTGCTCAGCTCCTGCAGATTAGCCAAAAGCAATTAGCAAACAGCTAGTGGAGCTGCTGAGCTCATTATGGGAGCTGCTGCTCAGAGCTTTAAAGGGTTGATAGAAAAGCCACGTTGGGACTTCCTGGAGGCGGAGCTTCAGGAAGAGCAGGAGCTTTAAAGAGACAGAGCATAGGCGAAATTCTGGAGGGGTCGGGAGTCCGAACCCCCCAATCTCAGAAAAGTCTAGAATTGAATTGTTAGCAAAGCCGCTTTCATAGACTAATTTTTTTTTTGTCAAAGGCAGCAAGCATCTCATTCATATTTAGCTTTTTAACTTTTTGTTCATTATTAGAGTTTGAAACTGGATGGAGGAGCAAGTGTCTTTATTTCTCTCTGTCTTCAATGTAGAGCCTTTAAAACCACTAAATAAAATCTGAATATTTTTCTATATAAACCCTGGTGCTTAAATGTTGCGTTAAAGTTAGGATTCCCCCCAGATATTCATTTGTTGTTTCTCTGTCACTCAGGACATGAGAAAACTAAAAAAGGCTTTAAAAAAGCAACTTTACAAGTTATAATTTAAATAGCCCACAAATTGTATTATGAGCCATTTCAATAAATCATTGTTGATGAGGAATTGTTCCTCTTTAAAGCTTTTTTATTTAGAACCTTAAGTTTTTGTGAAGTTGTGTCAGAGAGTAGATCAGTCAGACTGAACAAAACTCGTATAGAAGCGTCATTTGAGTTTTAGTTTTATTTCTCAATAATTTGCTTACTGAGAAAAACATGTTTGATGTGCATTATTAGTCATTTTTGGTCTTGCAGCTTGAATGTGGTTTAAAAACCTTTTAAATAATGAGATGGGATTACAGAGGCCCAATTTAAAGTGCCAAATAGGAGGTAACATTTATTTGAATTTATGTTCGATATTTACATAATTTCTATAATAACTGAGAGTAACATTGTTATTGACTGTTCTTTAAAATGGAAAACTCGTATTATTGCCTCTTTAATGAACTAACATGTTTGATTTCTGGAATGTATGATGAAGTTGATTTTACGCTATAACGGCTTGCCATATGAATCTGGTCAGGACTCTTTCCATCACCCTCATTTCTGTTTTTGTCCCTAGAAAACAAAGCGGTTGGGGTCATGAAGCCGGGTCACGTGTTCACCATCGAGCCAATGATCTGCGAGGGTGAGTGACGCAGCGGGTTGCCTGCAGGACGCCGGTCCGGCTCTGGCTAACACCCGCTGTGTGTGTGTGTGTGTGTGTGTGTGTGTGTGTGTGTGTGTGTGTGTGTGTGTGTGTGTGTGTGTGTGTGTGTGTGTGTGTCTAGGCGGCTGGCAGGACGAGACGTGGCCGGACGGCTGGACGGCGGTGACCCGGGACGGGAAGCGGTCGGCCCAGTTCGAACACACCCTGCTGGTGACGGAGACGGGGTGCGAGGTTCTGACGCGCCGCCTGGAGGACAACGGCCAGGCTCATTTCCTGGCCCAGATGTAGGCGCCGCCGGAACCGGCGCCCAGGACTGGACCCGACCAGACGCCCACAAACTCCTCACAGCTCAAAGGAAACTCTGAATTAAAATGGGTTCCTCAGATGAAGTGGAAGTTCTGGAATGTGTCTGTAAAGTTTTCTCAGTTTGGTCCGAGTCGTCTGGAGGAAGCAGATATTTCTAAAGTTCACCCACACTTTGCCAGAACCTTCCTTGAGGTTCTTCTCCAGGTAGAAAACATTCCTGGAAAGTTCTGGAAAAGTCCCAAAATAATGAGTTTAGGTTTGGAGAGTCAGCGGAGTTTAAATCTTTATTTCCAGAGCAGAATGCGGCGCAGAGCTGCAGCTTTAACTCACACCATCATCAAACGGCCATCCTGAGATAGCTTAGCTTACGATGCAGCTGCAGCATGACGGAGGTTCTGGTACCGTGAGCTCCGGTGTAGCAAAACGAGCCTTAACGTGTGGATGTGTGACCTCTGACCTGCTCGTCTCACCTTCATCCTGCGTCACCTGGACGCCGTCGTTGTTTCTCTGCACTCTTTGTACTTCTGATGGAGTAATAAATGACTCTTCTGTAGCTCCGTGTGGCTCGGTTTGTGGACCGGCGGCCCGAATCGGACCGGACCGGTCCGGCGGCCCAAATCGGACCGGACCGGTCCGGCAGTCCGAACCGGACCGGTCCGGAGGTGACGTTCCAGGAAAAATAACCAGGATTTATTATCAGCTTCTAACTTTCCCAACTTATTTGATTATACCGTATGACATGTTTTTTTTAATACGGAGAACCAATCCTGTCAAAATTGGCAAACAATAGAAATAAATTATTATACAGGTTGACAAATGTATCATTTTCAACAGTATTAAATTATCACTACTACTCAGTTTTACACTTTATTTCCAATATTGTTTTATCAATTGGCTTTCTTGATTTATTTTCCTTAATATTCTGTTTTCATTTTTTTACATTGATTTTTTTGTCTGTTTATTCAGATTTTGTGTTTTCAATCCAGTCAGCTTCTTCTATTGGTCAGCATCGATAGTCAAGCTCATAGTAGAATTTGTTTTTTGATGCAGTATTTTGCATATTACTTTAAAAAGCCTTTTATTTTTATTGCCAATTGTGACAGGATCAGTCCTCCATAGCTGTAAGAATGAATTCCAACCCAAACATATAAATGCTTTATATTTTTAATGTGTAATCATTCTCTGGAGAATGGTTCATTTCAGGTGAATTATTGATGATTAAAGTCTAGATGGATTTTCTGGTAGAATTGTTTCTTCTGAGACGTTTCCTCCATATCAGCTCCAACTGTGTCAAACTGGAAAACGGTGCCGGTTTCCTCTGGCTGGATGGTGTCGTTTAGTCTTGGTGCATGTTTCCTGTCTGACCCTGGAACAGACGATGTCTGTCAGACCGTCACGTTTCAGCAGACGGATAAAAACCCAGAATAAAACCAAACATCAGAACCGGCTCCGGTTCTACTCAGGAGAAACCTTCATGACGACCCGGACGCTGTGGAGCAAACACAGGAATGACTGAGCATCTGCTGCCGTGTGAGCATGTTGGTGACGAACCGGGTCGGTACCATTGGGAGTTCCTCATCAGCTCGATGGCGTCGTTGACCTGGTCCAGCGCCATGTTGTGGGTGATGAACTCGTCCAGCTTCACCTTCTTCTCCAGGTAGGCTCTCACCATCCCTGCCACGCCGTCTTTAGCTTTAAACCCTGAGGCACAGAATCCGGTCCAAATGGATCAGAACCACACAAGGCAACAGGATTTATACATCAGCTTTCAGCCAGAGGTGGTTCCAGGTGTGATTAGAAAGAAGTTAAAACATGATAAAAGAAAACACATCAAACAGATTCAATTTAATCAAATTTTTAAAGTGCAAAGAAATGTTTTCTGCTTTAATGAACTCATGGGTCCAGAGATCATCCACCGACAGAACGGGAGGATCAGCCACGATGTCTGCATCAGAACTGAAGCTGCTTCGGTTTCATTCTGCTGCTCTAAAAGCTCTCAGTGGTTCATGGAGGAAAATCAGTGAGTTCTTCATAAACCTTTAATATAACGTTAAATGCTCTGAGCAGCAGGAACCAGAAGGATGTCAGATCTGGACTCAGTCTGCTCTTTGTTTTGGTCAGGACTCATTCTGCAGAACATGAAGGTGTTTTATTGTTTTGTTTGGGTTTTTGCTAATCCAGTAAAAATCATTGAATGTATTAAAACCAAAGCTATGAAGTAAATGTTCAGAATGTTGTTGGGACATGAGTCCATCTTTTGTCTCTGATCAGTTTGATGTGGTTGTGAAGGATCAGGTCAGGATGCTGATCCCACAGATCCATGGCCTAGTCAAAGCATTTTGAACCAACAGGCTGAAGGTGATCCATCATTTTTAACCGCAGCTCTTTTGGCACAAAAGCTGAAACTTCAGGTTTACCTTTACTCAGCTGGAGAACATTGTGGCCCAAGCAGATAATAATGTGCTCATTTGAAGCTGACTGTAATCAGCTGCATCAGCAGAACCGGAACTGCAGCAGAGCGGCAGCTCACCTCCAAACATGGAGCCCTTCCAGGTCCGGCCGCAGATCAGGTGGCGCGGCCGGATGGTGATGTCGAACATGTCGGTCCAGCCGACCACCACGCTGACCCCCCAGGCCTCCATGCTGGCCTCCAAGGCGCTGCGCTGGAGAACCGGGGGACACGGTCAGCGGCCCGGTTCCGCTCCGCAGACCAACAGAGCATCGGTCCCTCACCATGACCTCACCATGACCTCCACGTTCCCCACGCACTCCAGGGAGAAGTCCACCCCTCCCCCGGTCATCCCACAGATCACCTCCTGGATGGGCCGGTTCTGGTCGTTGGGGTTCAGGAAGTCGGTGGCGCCCAACTCTCTGGCCTTGTCCGCTTTGTCCGGGTTGACGTCGACAGCGATGATCCTTTTGGCTCCTGCCGCCCTGCAGCCCATGACTGCAGCCAGGCCCACGGCTCCCAGGCCGAACACGGCGCAGCTGGAGCCCGCCTCCACCTGGACACACCAGAACCTCTGAGACCCGGAACACAGTAATCCCAACCTCTGCAACCTGGGACTGGATTAAACACACAGCCTGTTGTTGGACAAGCAGTCATTAAAATTGAACGTGTTAGCTTAGCCCGATGCTAAGTAATATTTTAGCAGATGCTAATAGCAACACATTAGCTTAAGCTAATGGTAAAGTTCTGTACCAGCGTGTTATTAGCTTAAGCAAACATAAGGTATATGCTAACAGTGTTGAGTCGAAGCTGAAGCTGCAGGTTCATCATCACCTGCTGTGTAAAGGCTTGACTCATTTCAAAGTAAAAGCATGAGACTGTTGGGTGTTCCAGTTTAACTCTTTAAGACCAGATGAAACAAAGTTTTATTTTTCAATGAATAAAACTTTTTAACTAATGTTGAACTTTATTTAAACGAAAGTTTAAAACACAGCTGAAGTAATTAGACTGGATCTGGAAAGTGTAATTTATTGGAAGATAAGAGGTGTTAGGGGTTAGGGGTTAGGGTTAGGGTTAGGGTTAGGGTTAGGGTTGAACTTTCTGTGCGCTGATAGTGGCCTAGTTGAAGCGCGGGCCTCGGCTCTCCCACCTTGGCGGTGTTCACCGCGGCGCCGTAGCCGGTGCAGATCCCGCAGCCCAGCAGGCAGACCTTGTCCAGAGGAGCCGCGGGGTCGATCCGGGTCACAGCAATCTGGTTGACCACGGTGTACTCAGAGAAGGTGCTGGTTCCCATGAGCTGGTGGACTCTCTTCCCCTTGCAGGTGAACCTGGATTCCACTCCAGCCATAATTTCTTGGCGAATTCTGGTCCTGGTCAGGATAGCTTGAGGTCAAACACTGTTTGTTCTGGAAAAGGTTGAGGACGAGGAGCTCACCATGCTCTCTCACACTGGTTGGTCCTCGGACTCTGACAGAACCGACATTCCTTACACTGGCAGAGGAACAGAGGAATCACCTTGTCTCCTAGGAGACCAAAAGGAGACAGTAAATATTAACTTTGAAGTTTAGGTACAAGCTAAACATGATATAGTAATGAATGATTGACGAGACGATCTAAAGCACCCAATTGTTTCATGTTAATTTATGGCTGTAAGTTTTGACTGCATCTCCTGGAAGGTTTTGGGCAGAAAGCCGCCGGTTCTCCAGGAGATGCTGCTGGTCGGTCAGCTTCAGAACCTCAGCTTCCTGTCCGGCATGTGGACGGCTCGGACTGACCGGGCTGAAACTCTGTGACTCCAGGTCCGACGCTCTCCACGACGCCGGCGCCCTCGTGGCCCAGGACCGTGGGAAAGCCGTCTGCGGCCTTGCTCTCCAGCAGGTGGTACAGGTCCGAGTGGCACAGCGAGGTCGCCACGATCTGCGCCAGGAAGTAACCATGACAGCGGCCATGTCAGGGGGCTCGAGCCTTACAAAGACCTGGTGACAGGAAGAGGCGTCTCCCACCTTGATGCGGACCTCACCGGCCTCAGGAGGAGCCACCTCGATCTCCTCGATGGCGGCCGGCGTGTCGGGCGCCCAGCACACCGCCGCCCTGCATCTGATGACCTGAGCCCAGCAGAAACGCTGCCGCTCAAAACGTCTTCATTATTTAGATCCAACTTATCAGACTCCACTCACTGAAATCTTATCAGTCAGTCGAGTTTAAAGAAGTTAGATGTAAATAATCCCATGAAGGGGACAAAGGTCATTTCATATTGGACAGTCATGCTTCACTTATAAAAGTGTGAAACGTTATGAGGCGGTAAAAACCGACCAAGAGGAAAAAGCTCAGAACATTTTGTAACAGACTGAACATCAAAATGATTATTTTTACATTAATGTCAGATTTATGAGCTTTTTTCTTTCCCAAATCTTCTGTTGGCAAACATTCATTTAATTAAGCTTTTAATAACCTAGTCGGCACATTATTTAAACATTTCCTACCTGGTAGAAACAGAAACATTTTTATTGTATATTTGGATCATTAATGTTTCCTGCATGCTTGTTGATGACATACTGGATAATAATTGCTATGCTAATGCTATTCAGAAAGGAAAACTTAAAACCTGCAGAGTTTGACTGACTGGCAGAAACTTTCAGTTTGACCTCATTTTAAAGCGGATTAAAGGTTGGTAGAAATGGTGCGGACTGGCCCTTTAGCCACCGAATCAAAGCTGCTTCCTTTGCATCATGATCACATTCAGTCCTGCCACTTTGGATGGATTTACAGAAACAAACCGCCGGGTCAGACAGAACTTCTGGGTCAGAAAGCTTGTCAAAAATGAAATCATGAAAATCCAAATGAAACGCTTGTTATTCGTTATACGGACCGTCCACGGCGTGGTGTGTGGTTCCTCTCACCTGCCCAGCTGTGGACATTTTTCCTGCAGAGATGATCGATCGATCGATTGATCGACTAATCGATCCCAACCCAGACGTTCAGCAGTGAAGGAAAAGAAGACGATCCGAACAACCTGGAACAAGCAGGACTTTAACCTGCAGCTGCTGTCAGGCGGGTCCAATCGGGTCCAATCGGGTCGTGCTCTGAGCCACTGCAGTAAACAGTGTCTCACCGGCTGGTTCGGTTCTGTGGTACCATCGCAGTACCATCTGATTATTGGATCCTTCATTTCATTTGATCTGCTGATGTTTATTTTGTCATTTCAAGATTTATTGTTATGAAACAATAAATGAGTTTTTAGCTTCATCCTCTGACCAGCAGGATAAAGTTTCCATTATCAGGTTTGAGGAGATGAACTTTGGCTTCAGAGAGCAAAACGTTGTAAATGATTTATTTCTGAACAGGTGAAAGTTTCTCTGCTTTCTGATGGCGCTGGGCCGGCCCAAGGTACAAGCAAACTGTGTGACTGCTGCGGAGAAACTGGCTGGAAAAACTTGACAGCTGGAAAATCATCTGCATATATTTCTGATTTAAAGATAATTTAGACATTTCTGCAGCTCTTGCTGCACATTAAAGTATTACTGAGTATTTGGAAAAATATGACAATTAAGTGATAATTTTACTAAAATAATAGTCATACAAAGAAAAAATACAATCTGGTTGTAATGAGTAAAAACAGAGATAAAAAGACAAAATACAGTTTTATGACAGAAAGTCCAAATGATGAAAATAAAGCTGTAATAATAAAAGAAAAAAAGTCTGAACAAATAATTGAACTGAATAATCAAAGAAATAATCAAAAATGAAGAAACTTTAGTGAAGTTTTACTTTATCATCATTTCATCTTTTAAGACGTCAGATTATCATCAGACTGAACTGTTCACATGATCATTATATTGAAGACAAAATCAGCTTCTAGGTGCATTCTGCAAACATCAGTCTAGAACTGGAAACAATCAATGCAGAATCCAGATCTGCCACAGGATGGAAACGTTGCTGGACGACGTCACTGCGGAGAAACCGTCAGCACGGCCCGGATGCTGCAGACACAGAAACATCCAGTCAGTTTCAGCCAGGAAGGAACATCCGGCGTGAATCTGAGCAGCGCTTTGGGTCGGACCACCGGCCGTTCTTCATCAGCTCCACGGCGTCGTTGATCTGCTCCAGCCTCAGGCTGTGGGTGATGAACTCGTCCACCATCAGCTTCCTGTCCAGGTAAGCTGTGACCATCTGGGAAACGCCGTCCTTCCCTTTAAACCCTGAAGCAGAGGAAGCATCATCAGGTACCGTCCCTTTAAGAGCAGGGCCGTGTCCAGACTGAAACCGCCGGGGGGCTGAGCATGACGAAAAACAGCCAAAAGAAATCTGAAACCACGTTTACATACACCTTCAAACTGCTTTTCAACAAAGTGATTTATTGTTGCTGTGGCGGCGCAGGGGGTTAGCACGCCCCGCTCTTGGACGCCTCAGTCCTCGACGTCGCGGGTTCGATTCCTGCTCCCGGCGACCTTTGCCTCTTTCCTGTCTGCCTACTGTCACAAAACAAAATACGAGCCTCCAGCACCACGAAAATAAAGAAATAAATTGTTTCTGTTGCAGAAGTTTATTATTATGATTCATTAAAACAGTGATGATGTCATGGCTTCAGCTGATGTGAAGAGTGGTTAGCTAATGCTAATGCTAACTCCAGAAGCTGCTGGTTCGTTTCTCACCTCCAAACAGAGTTCCCGTCCATTTCCGTCCAGTCATGAGCTGGATGGGCGAGGCGCTGAAGTTCTGCATGTCCGTCCAGCCGACGATCACGCTGACCCCCCAGCCGGGAGCGCACGACTCCAAGGCGCTGCGCTGCACGTAAACGCATCACTCATCAGTCCGCCCGCGTCATTCACACACCGCGAGACGGTCCTGACCCTCACCATGACCTCCACGTTCCCGATGCATTCGAAGGAGAAGTCCACTCCGCCGCCGGTCGTCTCCTGCAGCAGCTGCTGGATGGGTCTGCTGTGGTCGTTGGGGTTCACCACATCAGTGGCCCCCAACTTTTTGGCTTTCTCAAACTTCTCCGGGTTGATGTCGATGGCGATGATCCTTTTGGCTCCTGCCGCCCTGCAGCCCATGACTGCAGCCAGGCCCACGGCTCCCAGGCCGAACACGGCGCAGCTGGAGCCCGCCTCCACCTGCAGGCCATGGATTAGAGCCGTTGACGGTTTCCCTCACGAACCTGAGCGGTCTGGGCAGAGCGTCGTGTTTGGGCACCTGGGCGGTGTTGACGGCCGCTCCGTATCCGGTGCAGATGGCGCAGCCGATCAGACAGACCTTGTCCAGCGGCGCGGCCGGGTCGATCTTGGCCACAGAAATCTCCTTCACCACGGTGAACTCAGAGAAGCTGCTGGTTCCCAGGAACTGCAGCAGCTTCCTGCCCCTGCAGCTGATCCTGGAGCACTCAAAGCTCCGCTCATCAATTTGACCGGCCAACCTGAACACAACGTGCCATCCGTTACTTTCATATTGATCTGTAAACTAATAAAAACACCAATAAGATCTGGAAATGACGGGAAGATGAGCGGACACCCGTTGACGCAGAGGTTGGTCTTGGGACTCTTGCAGAGGCGGCATTCCCGACACTGAGGCATGAACAGCGGGATCACCGTGTCTCCTGGATCACAAACATGTCAGATTCAGCAGAGTTAAAGCAGAACCAGGCGGTGCGGCTGGTTCTACTGACCCGGCTGGAACTCTGTGACTCCAGGTCCGATGCTCTCCACCACACCGGCTGCTTCATGGCCAAAAACCGCCGGGAACAACTTCTGGTTCTGACATTTGCACAGGAAGTACAGATCCGACTGACACACTCCTGTTGCCACGATCTGCAGAGAAACGATGAAAGTGACGACAGTCAGAGATCAAGACAGCTTTGATTTAAGGCTCCAATGGTTCTCGCTTCATTATTCACATTTTGCTTCATTTGCTCTGACCTTGATCCGGATCTCCTTCTCCTGAGGCGGCGCCACCTCCACCTCCTCGATCACCAAGGGCTGGTTGAATTCCCAGGCTACTGCTGCCTTGCACCTGATGACCTGCAGACGGGCGAGCAGAGGTGAATTTATTAAACATCCCATAAATGTCCATCTATCTTCCAGCCTTATCCTGTCAGGAGGCGGGGTCACCTGGCAGGTCACCAGTCCATCGCCATGGCAACACAGAAACACACAGGACCAACATCCCCTCTCACACCGACGGAGAATTTAGAGAGACAAATTAACCTGACAGTCAGAACCCATGATGCACAGGGGAACATGCTAACTCCATGTTAACTTCATGCTAACTCCATGCTTACTTCATGCTAACTCCATGTTAACTTCATGCTAACTCCATGTTTGATTCATGCTAACTCCATGCTAACTCCATGTTAACTTTATGCTAACTCCATGCTAACTCCATGTTAACTTCATGCTAACTCCATGTTAACTCCATGCTAACTCCATGTTAACTTCATGCTAACTCCATGTTAACTTCATGATAACTCCATGTTAACTTCATGCTAACTCCATGCTAACTCCATGTTAACTTTATGCTAACTCCATGCTAACTCCATGTTAACTCCATGCTAACTCCATGTTAACTTCATGCTAACTCCATGTTAACTTCATGCTAACTCCATGTTAACTCCATGCTAACTCCATGCTAACTCCATGTTAACTTCATGCTAACTCCATGTTAACTCCATGCTAACTCCATGCTAACTCCATGTTAACTTTATGCTAACTCCATGCTAACTCCATGTTAACTTCATGCTAACTCCATGTTAACTTCATGCTAACTCCATGCTAACTCCATGTTAACTTCATGCTAACTCCATGCTAACTCCATGTTAACTTCATGCTAACTCCATGTTAACTTCATGCTAACTCCATGCTAACTCCATGTTAACTTTATGCTAACTCCATGCTAACTCCATGTTAACTTCATGCTAACTCCATGTTAACTCCATGCTAACTCCATGTTAACTTCATGCTAACTCCATGTTAACTTCATGCTAACTCCATGTTAACTTCATGCTAACTCCATGCTAACTCCATGTTAACTTTATGCTAACTCCATGCTAACTCCATGTTAACTCCATGCTAACTCCATGTTAACTTCATGCTAACTCCATGTTAACTTCATGCTAACTCCATGCTAACTCCATGTTACCTTCATGTTAACTCCATGTTAACTCCATGCTAACTCCATGCTAACTTCATGCTAACTCCATGTTAACTTCATGCTAACTCCATGCTAACTCCATGTTACCTTCATGTTAACTCCATGTTAACTCCATGCTAACTCCATGTTAACTTCATGCTAACTCCATGCTAACTCCATGTTAACTTCATGCTAACTCCATGCTAACTCCATGTTAACTTCATGCTAACTCCATGTTAACTTCATGCTAACTCCATGCTAACTCCATGTTAACTTTATGCTAACTCCATGCTAACTTCATGCTAACTCCATGTTAACTTCATGCTAACTCCATGCTAACTCCATGCTAACTCCATGCTAACTCCATGTTAACTTCATGCTAACTCCATGTTAACTCCATGCTAACTCCATGCTAACTCCATGTTAACTTTATGCTAACTCCATGCTAACTCCATGTTAACTTCATGCTAACTCCATGTTAACTTCATGCTAAACTCCATGCTAACTCCATGTTAACTTCATGCTAACTCCATGCTAACTCCATGTTAACTTCATGCTAACTCCATGTTAACTTCATGCTAACTCCATGTTAACTCCATGCTAACTCCATGTTAACTTCATGCTAACTCCATGTTAACTTCATGCTAACTCCATGTTAACTTCATGCTAACTCCATGCTAACTCCATGTTAACTTTATGCTAACTCCATGCTAACTCCATGTTAACTCCATGCTAACTCCATGTTAACTTCATGCTAACTCCATGTTAACTTCATGCTAACTCCATGTTAACTTCATGCTAACTCCATGCTAACTCCATGTTACCTTCATGTTAACTCCATGTTAACTCCATGCTAACTTCATGCTAACTCCATGTTAACTTCATGCTAACTCCATGCTAACTCCATGTTACCTTCATGTTAACTCCATGTTAACTTCATGCTAACTCCATGTTAACTTCATGCTAACTCCATGTTAACTTCATGCTAACTCCATGCTAACTCCATGCTAACTCCATGTTAACTTCATGCTAACTCCATGTTAACTCCATGCTAACTCCATGTTAACTTTATGCTAACTCCATGCTAACTCCATGTTAACTTCATGCTAACTCCATGTTAACTTCATGCTAACTCCATGCTAACTCCATGTTAACTTCATGCTAACTCCATGTTAACTCCATGCTAACTCCATGCTAACTCCATGTTAACTTCATGCTAACTCCATGTTAACTTCATGCTAACTCCATGTTAACTTCATGCTAACTCCATGCTAACTCCATGTTAACTTTATGCTAACTCCATGCTAACTCCATGTTAACTTCATGCTAACTCCATGTTAACTCCATGCTAACTCCATGTTAACTTCATGCTAACTCCATGTCAACTTCATGCTAACTCCATAACTTCATGCTAACTCCATGCTAACTCCATGTTAACTTTATGCTAACTCCATGCTAACTCCATGTTAACTCCATGCTAACTCCATGTTAACTTCATGCTAACTCCATGTTAACTTCATGCTAACTCCATGTTAACTTCATGCTAACTCCATGCTAACTCCATGCTAACTTCATGCTAACTCCATGTTAACTTCATGCTAACTCCATGCTAACTTCATGCTAACTCCATGTTAACTTCATGCTAACTCCATGCTAACTCCATGTTACCTTCATGTTAACTCCATGTTAACTCCATGCTAACTCCATGCTAACTCCATGTTAACTTCATGCTAACTCCATGTTAACTTCATGCTAACTCCATGCTAACTTCATGCTAACTCCATGTTAACTTCATGCTAACTCCATGCTAACTTCATGCTAACTCCATGTTAACTTCATGCTAACTCCATGTTAACTTCATGCTAACTCCATGCTAACTTCATGCTAACTCCATGCTAACTCCATGTTAACTTCATGCTAACTTCATACTAACTCCATGCTAACTCACTCAAAGACCCCAGGCCAGGAATCGAACCCAGGACCTTCTTGCTGCAAGGCAACAGTACTACCAGCTGCTCCACTGCAGCTTCCTGTAAATATGTATCCTGAAAATATAACATTTACTTTTGCTTAGGAAAGAAGGTAAACTTGAGACCCTGACCTTGAATCGAACCTCACTAATTGTTTTGTTTGCACTTTCTTTCTCCTTTTTATGTCGGATTTATGATTTGAAGTGGTTTCACTGAAAGTCGGTTTACTTTGTCTCCCTGTTACCATGAGGCTGAAGGTGAAGGAGCTGAACCAGATTCTTAATGCTGCAGCTGAAGGTGAAGGAGCTGCTGCGTCTCTTAAAGCTGCAGCTCCTTCAGGGCAGCCATGAAAAGTTTGTCTCTGCATTTTCCTTGATGAAGAACTGAACAGGCGCTGCAACAATTTCAGATTTATTCACAGAAGCAAAGTAAAACTGGACTAATTTTTGTGCAAAATTCAAGGTTTATTAAAGACTCCCCTCAATGGCAGGTTTGCTCATTTGCTACAAAATTAGATGGAAAATGTATTTTCCAAACATCTCATGCACTAACACCAGGAACATGAGACGATCTCTTAAACAGCCTCAGTTTGATCATCAGAGCAAATCTCAGCTCTGCTGCTGCAGCAGTAAACATCATGTCACTGGATGCAGCTTTCAGCCTTTTTACTTCTGCTTTTTGTTGCCAAACTTCTCACTTTGCTTTAAAAAAACATTTTAAACAGTTTTAAATGTTTTATCCAAACATTGCAGTGTGTAACAAAACGGTGAAAACTTTGACCCAGACATACAAATATTTACTGAAATGTTTCAAACTAGTTACAAAATGACTGAGACAGTAAATATGGTAAAACTTTGAGTTGCTGAGAAGCAGCTCACCTGTCCAGCTGTGGCCATCTGTCCTGCTGAAGGGAAATGACAGCGGCTCACATGGAGGCTGAGACTTTAACCTGCAGGTCAGACCAGATGACCTCTGGTTCATTTCAAACAAAACGTTTGACGGTTTTCAGAATAAAATCGTTGCAGGAAGTTCAGAGCTGGAGGCCTGAGCAACACGATTCAAAATGTGACCATTTCATTTCTCATCAGAAATAATCTGATGAATAAAACCAACAGGCTGCATTAAACCAGGAAGGATTGGACAATATTTCCATTTGAAACACTCACATGAAACTTGCTGTGGTTTTAGTTGAATGGAGTTTTATTTCTCCAGAGAGCTTTTAGTGTTTTTGGAATGAAAACAGGTTGGAGCATAAATTCATCGCTTTTTGTTGAAGAGGAATTATCATGTCAATTGTTATTTGTGTTATTGGCTGTTTTGCATCAAAGGGAAATAAACCTGGAGGCCTGGAAAGTCAGGGAGGAATTTGGATTTGGAAAAATGTGGAAGTAAAAACTGTGACAGACTGGCGACTTGTCCAGGTGACCCTGTCCGGGTGACCCCGTCCAGGTGACCCCGTCCAGGTGGATTTGTCCAGGTGACCCCGTCCAGGTGGACTTGTCCAGGTGACCCCGTCCAGGTGACCCCGTCCAGGTGGACTTGTCCAGGTGACCCCGTCCAGGTGACCCCGTCCAGGTGGACTTGTCCAGGTGACCCCGTCCAGGTGACCCTGTCCAGGTGACCCCGTCCAGGTGGACTTGTCCAGGTGACCCCGTCCAGGTGGACTTGTCCAGGTGACCCCGTCCAGGTGACCCCGCCTGGACCAACATTAACCCCTCACCCCCACCCCAGTGATAAACAAACTGTATTCACTTATTGCAGCTTGAATAAAATGCAACTGCATGGTTTTTGTGAAGAAGTCTGGATTGCTTTATGTATATTTTGCATGTTGTCTGTGACTGCTGCTCGTGGAGAGAGACATTTCAGAAAGCTAAAACTAATAAAACATTTTAGCAACCGACTTGCAAACTGTATGTGAACTGTTGGATGTAAAATTCACAAGCAGTGAATATTGTACTATATCAGTATTGGACCAAAGAAAGCCAGGCTGTGACGCTTCATATGGAACAAATAGACTCAAGAAATTCTAACAGTAGTTGTGCAGGGGGCCCAGTTTAATTTTTTGCCAAGGTTCCTAGTGGTGGCCCTGTTTATTGTAAATGAACTTTAATGATCAAAAATAACCAGAGTAACTAGGAAATGGTGCCAATCTGAACCTTCCACCACAAAGGAATGGAGACAAACTGTGAAGTCATGATGTAAGATGACTAAGGAAAACAAGAAGAGCAATGTCAGCAGAAATGGCAAAAATGGACAAACATCACATCAACACTTCAGGACTAATTTTGGGTCCCTTTGAGTTTTGTGTTACCAAAATAAGAGTCTCCTCCCAGTGAGTACCATTTGTTTTGATTGTTCTGTATTTTTTAGCTCTTATCATTTCTAAGTATTGTTTGACTTTCCTTTTTGAATGTACTCTGAAAATTTCAATAAAAATAAAGTTCTAAAAAAATAACCAGACTGAATGCAGGAAATGATTCAAACCAACCAACGTCGCCTGAATTCATTCTGCAGCCTGATGAACACATGAAGACCTCATCATGTGTTCATCACATGATGAGCTCTGGACCTGCTGACACACGTTAGTCTCTTGCAGAAGCAGCGACCCGACACCGAGGGACCAGCAGGACCAGCGTGTCTCCGGGACAGCAGACAGTGGCAGAAGATTTCATCTGTGAAAACAGTCAGGTTTAGCCCGACTGATTATTGTGAAGCCGGTTCCTGATGTTGCTCTGATCTGATGTTGCTCTGATCTGATGTTGCTCTGATCTGATGTTGCTCTGATCAACGCCGCCTTTTCCTCAGCTGATGGGAACAAGCAGCTTCCTGTGGGGTTTCAGGTCCTCTGCTGCTTTAGCCAACATCTGTCTGGTTGTTTCTAGCCAATCAGCTGCAACAACTTGTCACCATCAACACGCGACACAAAGACTTATTAGTAGAATCAGTCATAATAATTACCTTTTCTAAAAGACTCTGAAACTCATAAAGATGCTAAAATATAATCAACACTTATAGCTTCCTGGACCAGAAAGTATCTTTTGTCACTAAGGAAGGGAAACAGGAGAATTGTGGATCATTTGTCTGCAGAACAGTGATGTGTTATTTACTTCATATTCTATGCATGTAAAAAGAAACCGATGTGAAAGAGATGAACGCTTCTGATGCTGCTGCTGGACGAATAGGAGAACTGATGTGCAACACATTCAGAATAGAAAACATAGTTGACAGAACAAAGAACAACTCTGAGCTTGAACAAACACAACCTTCAGGTTGAATGATTTTATTTGCTCCAAATGTTTCATGACCCCAGATGTAACCATCAGGCAGGACAGATGAACCGTTGGCTGCTCACTGTGAACAGAAGCCAAACGCCCAGCCTGGCGAAGGAGACAACGTTTTGGGAGGAGCTTTGACTCAAGGAGAAACTCTCAGGACCGTCCGGATGCTGTGGAGCAAAGAGAGAAGAAGGAAAACTGGAAGGTTTGAACAACAGAAGAGCTTCTGTCTGGTGGCAATGAAAACGGACCACTGGCCGTTCTTCATCAGCTCCACGGCTTCATTGACTTTCTCCAGAGTCATGATGTGAGTGATGAACTCGTCCAGCTTCACCTTCCTGTCCAGGTAAGCTTTCACCATCTGAGGAACACCGTCCTTACTCTTGAACCCTGAGGCACATGAAGCACACATGAACTGATCCAGATTCAGGAACCAGATTCAGGTACTGAACCAGATTCAGGAACCAGATTCAGGAACCAGATTCAGGAACCAGATTCAGGTACTGAACCAGATTCAGGAACCAGATTCAGGAACCAGATTCAGGTACTGAACCAGATTCAGGAACCAGATTCAGGAACCAGATTCAGGAACCAGATTCAGGTATGAACCAGATTCAGGAACCAGATTCAGGAACCAGATTCAGGAACCAGATTCAGGTACTGAACCAGATTCAGGTACTGAACCAGATTCAGGAACCAGATTCAGGAACCAGATTCAGGAACTGATCCAGATTCAGGAACCAGAATCAGGAACCAGATTCAGGTACTGAACCAGATTCAAGAACCAGATTCAGGAACCAGATTCAGGAACCAGATTCAGGAACCAGATTCAGGAACCAGATTCAGGAACCAGATTCAGGAACCAGATTCAAGAACCAGATTCAGGTACTGAACCAGATTCAGGTACTGAACCAGATTCAGGAACCAGATTCAGGAACCAGATTCAGGTACTGAACCAGATTCAGGAACCAGATTCAGGAACTGAACCAGATTCAGGAACCAAATTCAGGAACCAGAATCAGGAACCAGATTCAGGTACTGAACCAGATTCAGGTACTGAACCAGATTCAGGAACCAAATTCAGGAACCAGAATCAGGAACCAGATTCAGGAACTGATCCAGATTCAGGAACCAGATTCAGGTACTGAACCAGATTCAGGAACCAGAATCAGGAACCAGATTTAGGAACCAGATTCAGGAACCAGATTCAGGAACCAGATTCAGGAACTGATCCAGATTCAGGAACCAGATTCAGGAACCAGATTCAGGTACTGAACCAGATTCAGGAACCAGATTCAGGAACCAGATTCAGGTACTGAACCAGATTCAGGAACCAGATTCAGGAACCAGATTCAGGAACCAGATTCAGGTACTGAACCAGATTCAGGAACCAGATTCAGGAACCAGATTCAGGTACTGAACCAGATTCAGGTACTGAACCAGATTCAGGAACCAGATTCAGGAACCAGATTCAGGAACTGATCCAGATTCAGGAACCAGAATCAGGAACCAGATTCAGGTACTGAACCAGATTCAGGAACCAGATTCAGGAACCAGATTCAGGAACTGATCCAGATTCAGGAACCAGATTCAAGAACCAGATTCAGGAACCAGATTCAGGTACTGAACCAGATTCAGGAACCAGATTCAGGAACCAGATTCAGGAACCAGATTCAGGAACCAGATTCAGGAACCAGATTCAGGTACTGAACCAGATTCAGGAACCAGATTCAGGAACCAGATTCAGGTACTGAACCAGATTCAGGTACTGAACCAGATTCAGGAACCGAATTCAGGAACCAGAATCAGGAACCAGATTCAGGAACTGATCCAGATTCAGGAACCAGATTCAGGTACTGAACCAGATTCAGGAACCAGAATCAGGAACCAGATTTAGGAACCAGATTTCAGGAACCAGATTCAGGAACCAGATTCAGGAACTGATCCAGATTCAGGAACCAGATTCAGGAACCAGATTCAGGAACCAGATTCAGGTACTGAACCAGATTCAGGAACCATTCAGGAACCAGATTCAGGTACTGAACCAGATTCAGGAACCAGATTCAGGAACCAGATTCAGGAACCAGATTCAGGTACTGAACCAGATTCAGGTACTGAACCAGATTCAGGAACCAGATTCAGGAACCAGATTCAGGTACTGAACCAGATTCAAGAACCAGATTCAGGAACCATTCAGGAACCAGATTCAGGAACCAGATTCAGGAACCAGATTCAAGAACCAGATTCAGGTACTGAACCAGATTCAGGTACTGAACCAGATTCAGGAACCAGATTCAGGAACCAGATTCAGGTACTGAACCAGATTCAAGAACCAGATTCAGGAACCAGATTCAGGAACCAGATTCAGGTACTGAACCAGATTCAGGTACTGAACCAGATTCAGGAACCAAATTCAGGAACCAGAATCAGGAACCAGATTCAGGAACTGATCCAGATTCAGGAACCAGATTCAGGTACTGAACCAGATTCAGAAACCAGAATCAGGAACCAGATTTAGGAACCAGATTCAGGAACCAGATTCAGGAACCAGATTCAGGAACTGATCCAGATTCAGGAACCAGATTCAGGAACTGATCCAGATTCAGGAACCAGAATCAGGAACCAGATTCAGGTACTGAACCAGATTCAAGAACCAGATTCAGGAACCAGATTCAGGAACCAGATTCAGGAACCAGATTCAGGAACCAGATTCAAGAACCAGATTCAGGTACTGAACCAGATTCAGGTACTGAACCAGATTCAGGAACCAGATTCAGGAACCAGATTCAGGTACTGAACCAGATTCAGGAACCAGATTCAGGAAACTGAACCAGATTCAGGAACCAGATTCAGGAACCAGATTCAGGAACCAGATTCAGGTACTGAACCAGATTCAGGTACTGAACCAGATTCAGGAACCAAATTCAGGAACCAGAATCAGGAACCAGATTCAGGAACTGATCCAGATTCAGGAACCAGATTCAGGTACTGAACCAGATTCAGGAACCAGAATCAGGAACCAGATTTAGGAACCAGATTCAGGAACCAGATTCAGGAACCAGATTCAGGAACTGATCCAGATTCAGGAACCAGATTCAGGAACCAGATTCAGGTACTGAACCAGATTCAGGAACCAGATTCAGGAACCAGATTCAGGAACCAGATTCAGGTACTGAACCAGATTCAGGAACCAGATTCAGGAACCAGATTCAGGTACTGAACCAGATTCAGGAACCAGATTCAGGAACCAGATTCAGGAACTGATCCAGATTCAGGAACCAGAATCAGGAACCAGATTCAGGTACTGAACCAGATTCAGGAACCAGATTCAGGAACCAGATTCAGGAACTGATCCAGATTCAGGAACCAGATTCAAGAACCAGATTCAGGAACCAGATTCAGGTACTGAACCAAATTCAGGAACCAGATTCAGGAACCAGATTCAGGAACAGATTCAGGAACCAGATTCAGGTACTGAACCAGATTCAGGAACCAGATTCAGGAACCAGATTCAGGTACTGAACCAGATTCAGGTACTGAACCAGATTCAGGAACCAAATTCAGGAACCAGAATCAGGAACCAGATTCAGGAACTGATCCAGATTCAGGAACCAGATTCAGGTACTGAACCAGATTCAGGAACCAGAATCAGGAACCAGATTTAGGAACCAGATTCAGGAACCAGATTCAGGAACCAGATTCAGGAACTGATCCAGATTCAGGAACCAGATACAGGAACCAGATTCAGGTACTGAACCAGATTCAGGAACCAGAATCAGGAACCAGATTTAGGAACCAGATTCAGGAACCAGATTCAGGAACCAGATTCAGGAACTGATCCAGATTCAGGAACCAGATTCAGGAACCAGATTCAGGTACTGAACCAAATTCAGGAACCAGATTCAGGAACCAGATTCAGGTACTGAACCAGATTCAGGAACCAGATTCAGGAACCAGATTCAGGTACTGAACCAGATTCAGGTACTGAACCAGATTCAGGAACCAGATTCAGGAACCAGATTCAGGAACTGATCCAGATTCAGGAACCAGAATCAGGAACCAGATTCAGGTACTGAACCAGATTCAGGAACCAGATTCAGGAACCAGATTCAGGAAACTGATCCAGATTCAGGAACCAGATTCAAGATCCAGATTCAGGAACCAGATTCAGGTACTGAACCAAATTCAGGAACCAGATTCAGGAACCAGATTCAGGAACCAGATTCAGGAACCAGATTCAGGTACTGAACCAGATTCAGGAACCAGATTCAGGTACTGAACCAGATTCAGGTACTGAACCAGATTCAGGAACCAAATTCAGGAACCAGAATCAGGAACCAGATTCAGGAACTGATCCAGATTCAGGAACCAGATTCAGGTACTGAACCAGATTCAGGAACCAGAATCAGGAACCAGATTTAGGAACCAGATTCAGGAACCAGATTCAGGAACCAGATTCAGGAACTGATCCAGATTCAGGAACCAGATTCAGGAACCAGATTCAGGTACTGAACCAGATTCAGGAACCAGATTCAGGAACCAGATTCAGGTACTGAACCAGATTCAGGAACCAGATTCAGGAACCAGATTCATGCCAGGATGGCTGCAGGACTTTTCCTGCCTCAGTGTCTGCTGAGGTTGGCTTCCTGTGGTCTTAAAACCTCAGATTGACTCTTCTGGTCTCACCTCCAAACAGGGTGCCCTTCCATGTTCGGCCCGCGATGAGCTGAATGGGTCGGGCGGCAAAATCATGCAGATCTGTCCAGCCGACAAGAACGCTGACACCCCAACCCTTCACACAAGACTCCAGGGCGCTGCGCTGCAGAGGAGCGGAGCACGTCAGACATCTTGATTTATTATTTTAGCTTGTACCAGATGATCCTCACCATGACTGCAACATTTCCTACACACTCCAGGGAGTAGTCCACTCCTCCATCAGTCATCTCAGCCAGCACCTGGTTGATGGGTCTGCTGTGATCTTTGGGGTTCACAAACTCAGTGGCACCAAACACTTTGGCTTTCTCAAACTTCTCTGGGTTGATGTCAACAGCGATGATCCTTTTGGCTCCTGCAAACTTACAGCCCATGACTGCAGCCAGGCCCACGGCTCCAAGACCGAACACGGCGCAGGTGGAGCCCGCCTCCACCTGCAGGAGCACACGCTCACATTAGCTTACTGCACAGTGCTTCGATGTCCACACCGTGCCTCAGAGACTTTCAGGTACGACCTTAGCAGTGTTGACCGCTGCGCCGAACCCTGTGCAGACCCCACAACCAAGGAGGCAGACTTTATCCAGAGGGGCAGCCAGGTCAATCTTGGCCACTGCTATCTGGTTAAGAACTGTGTACTGAGAGAAGGTGCTGGTCCCCAAAAACTGCAGCAGCTTCTTCCCCTTACAGCTCAGTCTGGTTTCATCTAAAGCCATCACATCATAGCGGTCAGCGGCCCTGAGAACAAAAGTGACTATCTGGCTTTTAAACTGTAAAAATATTGAAGATCTGATGAAATCACGAATAAAGAAATCAACCTACCATCCTTTGACACACTGGTTGGTCTTTGGGCTTTTACAAAAGCGACACTCTCGACACTGGGAGATGAACAGAGGAATAACCTTGTCCCCTGAATATTAAAGAAGTCATTTTAAGCATTTTAATGCAAGACGAAGATGAAATGATGTGACACTTTGTTTGGATCAGTCAGGATCAGAGCGGAAACGAATTGCTTTGTTGCAGTTTGTCCCTTTAAGGAACTTTGTCAGGAACATTACGGTTTCATTTTCCCAGCTGATTTCAGGTTAAGAATTTTATTGGTTTCTGAGGAGAAAATGCGGTGAGAATATGAAGTGATCCAGACTGACGGTTTTATTTTATTATTGACTGAAAGCCAACAGTGGAGTTGGTCAAGTTGATGCCTGCAAGGCACTCAGGTTCTGTGGGGGCGGCATCACCCTTCCACCACCGTGCTTCACAGTGGGTACAGATCTGCTGCGTCTGGGTCTCCACTCCAGTCTCACCAGCCCAGAAGTCTTATCCTCCTCCAGACTTATGTCCTGTTGCCATCTTGTTTCCAGAAAGGCTTTTTCCAGGTAACAACTTGGCATTGTGCAGACTTTGGTTGACACACGGCTCCAAGAGGCTCTCAGAGTTGGGTTTGACTCACCTGGCTGAAATTCAGTGACACCGGGCCCAACGCTCTCCACTATGCCAGCTCCCTCATGTCCGAGAACCACCGGGAAGCCATCTTTGTGCATTCCCTCAAACAGGTGGTACAGGTCTGTGTGGCAGACACCTGTGGCCACAATCTGCAAACAGGGAAATCACTCAGCTTCATTCCTTACTGAATCCGACAATATTTGATGCCTGGTGACTATAGCAGGCTGAGTTGTTAGCCATGCTAACTGACGTCAGATGTAAGCAGGGCTGCAGACGATGTTCCAGCTGTACACACAGATAAGCACACGAGTGACTCCAGCTGGGCCATTCACATGAGGAGTGTGCCATTCATGGCACATCTGTAACCCAGCTGAGGCCCTGGATCTGTTTTGTTCTTTGGAAGTGATTATGATTATGGGATGCCAATAGTTTGTAGACGTGAAACTTTCAGATTTTCTTTCTTCGTCATATGGAAAGTTTCCAGGCAGTGGCTGGAAACATAAATGATGAAAACTGGGCTTTAGTCCAGCAGCAGCTGCAGGAGAGCAGGGAGGCGGAGGGACAGACTGCCACGCATCACGCAGGACAAACAACCAAACTAGGGCTTGGAAATGAATGACCTCTTATTACAGGTTAAATAACCCAAATTATTTCTGTTAATTTTTAACTGTGAGCAAACAGAACCGACAGTCTCTGCTGACTGTGGTGTTTGGACTGAGAGAGGAAGCTGGAGTACCTGAAGGACCCACACCTGCAGAAAGAGCTGCTGAAATGTTGACTGAACGGCGCGGATCGTGTTTGTGGCTCACTCACCTTGATGCGAACCTCGTTGGCCTGAGGAGGAGCGACCTCAATCTCCTCGATGACCAGGGGCTTGTTGGGCTCCCAGGCCACCGCTGCCTTGCACCTGATGACCTAAAGCAGTGCTGACATCAGCTGCTTCTGCTCTCAAATTGTTCCTGACAAACTGGAACCAAAAGGCTTCCAGGTTCAGTTTCAAGCATCTCTGCTGAGTTTGAGCGGTTCATGTTTAAATCTCACTTTCAGGAGACGCATGGAGACAAAGGGAGAATAAAACCGACTGATCAAACTTCATGTTTTCCATGGCAAACAGCATCTTTTAAGACAATTTAGTTATATTTTATTCTGTCATCAGAGTAAAACACAAGGAAATGAATACTTTTCCTTGTACATATTTGTTCAACATCCTTAATCTATTTGACATTTTTGGCCTTTTTCCAATTTTTTTCCTTTGTCCCTTTCTGGCCTCAAGCTGCTGAACGCCTGTCAATATCTGCAGCTGCGTAAAACTGACAGGATAATTTGAAACCAAGTTAAAATACCTCAAGCTACAGATGACTTTCATTATTTTCTTTTCTCAGAAAATCAGGAAAAACATCAAGATTTAAAACCTTCAGCAGTTTGAAGGAGATTTGTCGACTTCAGTCGCTGATCAAATGTTTTTGCTTTAATGAAAACCATAAGTTTAACCAACACATGAAAAAACTGCAGATGCATGTAGATGTGCCGTGAAAGTGAGAAGTTAACCTACCTTACCAGCTGTCGCCATTTCTACAGAGTAAAACAGACAGGAGGTTCGAGGAACGAACAAAGTTTGGTTGAAATCCTGCAGCTGAAGCTGAAGTTATGCAACTGTGCAGAAGGGGGAGGTTCTCTGGATGGTTTTCAACATATTGAATCTTTAGCCCACCACTTATATAAAAGGGAAATAAAGCATCATTTTGTTATTTCATACAATGCCTCAGCTGGTGGCTCTCAACCTGTGACTCAGGTTTTACCCAGAGGAACCTGCAGGATCTGGGCCCCATGTGACAGTTTATTTTCCTATTTAATTTCTGTTTATATGTTTATTTTTAGACTGCTGCCTTGCAGCAAGAAGGTTCTGGGTTCAAATCCCACTCTGGAGTCTGTGAACGGTTAAAGTTAGCACGACTTCCTCCCACAGTCCAAAAACACGACTGTTAGTTTACAGCAACTAACCAACCTAACCAACTAACTGTCCTCTCAGATTGAACGGCTGCCTGGTTGGGCCTGTCCAACGCAGACTGACAACACGATGCATTCAGACAAAGTCTAGAAAGTTTCTGGTCGGTAAAGTATTTCTGATTGTTCAATCGTCATCATTGTCTGAGCAGCTCAGTCCAGAACCTTCTTCCTGCAGTTCCTGGTGGCTTGGTGTACTTACACTTAATCTGCCAAACATGCTGTAATCTCATGAAACTGTCTCCAAAGTTGTTACAGATTAATGTTGATAATAATGCAGTAGAATGAAAAGGCTGCAGGCAAATCCAGATCTGTATTGTTTTAATGATGTGCTGATTGAACTGGAACAGTGGCAGCTCATACATGAACATCTTGCTGCAGTGATTCTGGTGGAGCATCTTAGAGCATGAAATCCAAGTCAACAGAAACACATCCAGCGTTCACAACTTCTGGTAAAGACCACAAATAAAGATGCTCAACATTTTCCAAATCTGTAAAAATGACTTCAAGGCACTAAAATCCACCAGAGAACGTCTGGAACTGAAACGAGACGGAGGAAATCGGCACAAACACCAGAGGCCGACAGTCCAGCACAGCGGTGGAGGAATGATGGTTTGGGCTCGTTTGGACCGGACCATCAACTCGTCTGAGCCTGTCGCCTCGCATCACCTTCAGTGTTTCTGCCTCTAAAGCTTCAGCTGAGAACATTAAGGAAATAATCCTCCAACTGGACAAATATGTCAAAATCTGGAACATAAAAAATACCTGAAATCAAACATCCTGCTCCACTCTGCCCCCAAGTGGCCTTTTGTGATCCTGCATCCTCTAACGTTGTAATCTGACATAATAATCTGTTCTAGTTACCTTGAAACTGTTTTATAATCTGGGAAAGGCCAAATCAATGCTGGGATGCAGTGTGTGAACTCCTAAAACTGAAATAAGAACCTGATCTGATCAGAACCCGATCAGAACCTGATCGGATCAGGTTCTGCTGTTTTATTATCTTCATCCTTCAGAAGCTCAGCACCGCCGTGACAATAAACCAGATCCTGAACAATGTAACTTTGGACCAACCAGATGACAGGAGATATGAACACGTCACTCATTGAGCAAACAAAGCAACAGGAAACTATTTTGTTAGCCAACATCATATTTTACAGACAGATGAAAAGCTCAGCTGGAAAACATGGAGAACTTGCAGCTGAATAGAGCATCAGGTGGATGAAGGATGATGTTACTGGTTTCTGCCTCACAGAGTCAGAAAAACACAGAATGAGAAGAAGAGGAGCTTCTTCCACGCAGCAGTTGGAGGCCAGGCTGTTTCTGATGGGCCGTCATCAGGGACCACAGGGAAGACTTGTGATGCATCTGACCTGTGTCCTCGTAGACGCCGTCATCAAAGGGTCGCGACCCAGACGGCTGGATCCTGTGACGCGAATACTTGAGCTGAAGAAGGTCACCGACCTCACTGGTGGCTCGCAGCGCCTGTGGAGACATTCATGACTAAATGTTTCAGCTTTTGGCCTGAAACAGCAAAGCAACAAACATGGAAACATGTTGCTATGATGACGGTCAGGAACGCTCCTTACATCAGCCTCTACTCTTCAATCTGTGCTTAATATTTGAATTTTCTTTGGTTCAACATAAATATTGACTGTTATTTCTGCGGCGCATCATGACAGAGGAACCAACAGGACGTTACAGTCGGTTTCCTGCAAACCTTCTGACGCATCGTTTGGTTTTCCCAGTCAGACTGAACTTCATCTTGTTTCCTATGGATCAGCAGGCCACAGGATTCAAACTATTGCATCACCACTGGAGGATGCTTTCTTGTTGCACTGTCCTTCCACTTAACTTTCCTTTGCTCTCTGAGTAGAGAACCTCTTTAGCGATGACTTCCAGCACAAACCAGAACATTTCTGTTATGTTAGGTCTGATCCCTCACTTTAACTTCCTCTGGCAACAGGGAAAAGGTCCAACCAGCATGAAGATGAAGCTTACCTTCATAATCGGGCCGAACAATAAAGAGATCAAATGTGGCCCCTCCCACCGCCTGCAGCCTTCCAGGCTGCTGCGTTTTACAGGATCCATCCATCCTGGCAGCAGCCGACCTCTGCATGTGAAGGTCAACACATTTACAGTCAGCAGGAGGAGACGCTTGAAGACAAAAGGATTCAGGGTCACGTATTTGTGTGGATCAAGAAAACGAAGCAGAAGATGAAAGAAACAGAAACCACTCAAAGCAGGAGACGAAGATGAAGCTGCTCTTCCTCTTCACCTCGTCTTGCTCTCCTGTTTGCACAAGAGAAGAAGAATCAGGTTTGATATGGGTTCACATGTTCCAGGGTTTCTGATCCACCTGAACACATCGACCCGATCCACAGCCTTCGATGAAACCTGAGTGAGGTTTCAGCATCAGAAGTGAGAACGGCGGGTCTGAAAGCAGAAACAAGGCCAGAACCGTCCAAACGTCAAACATCTCTGAGAGGAATGAACTACAACAGGATGAAGAACCCAAAAACATCTCCAATGCAGGTGACTTTCCTCTTCAGCACTTTGTTTCTGCCGGGTTTGAACCTGGACTCTGTGGAAGGTTGAAATTCAGCAGGAATGAGGATTTGCTCAGAAACCTGCAGCGTTTCTCACCTGGTCCAGCAGCTCCCTGGAATGAGCCGCCGAGACGCAGAAGCGCGCCCGCGACTCGATGATGGGCGTGGCCAGGAAGCCTACCACCACCACGCCGATGTTTCTGCTCAGCATCTCGCGGCCAAACGCTCTGCCGGGACACAACGGGGAGAAGTCAGTGCCTGTGGCCTGAGGTCAAAGGTCAGCTGCTGCAGCCTCACCCCATCTTGGCGGGCAGGTAGAGCATCATGGGAACGACGGGCGAGTCGTCGTTCCCGTAGATGATGAAGCCCATTTCCCGAAGTCTCAGCCAGAAGTAGGCGGTGTTCTCAGCCAGCTGCTGGATCCGGTCAGAACCTGGACCAGAACAGACAAGAGCTACAATCTGTGGAAAGAAAACACACCCTGTGTGACAGAAACTAAGTACACCCTGCTGGTCCACTTGGTTCTGTCCAGGCAGGTTCGCGGTTAAAGGTCAGAGCACATCAGACCATTGTGTTAAATCACTTCTCAAGACTCACTTCTACTGTCCTGACCTTTGACCCCGCGGGAAATGCTGATATTTGTTTTGGGTTATTTTATGTTTTCTGCATGTTTTATGTTTTTGTCAAAAGTCACCAGATCCATCATCGCCAAGCTTTGAAGCAAACAATGTCTTTCTGACCACAGGACTGGCCACGCCCCTCAGGGCCCCCTGGCTCCGCCCACTTTGACTGAATTATGTTTTGTTTTACAGCGAGTCCTTCACAGGACGGCTGTCTGTAAACGTCTGTTACTCTGTCAGCTCAGCTGGTGAAGGAAACTGAATGAATTCAGCCGGTCTGGACCTGAAACCAGCTGGTCCACATTCAGAATGATGACGGATGAAAAACAGGACAAAACCACCAGGCTGGCGATAAGAAGATGTGAAGTAAAGCTGGTTCCTCATTTTACTGAGCTGCACTGACCCCTTGTGGCTACTAGTGAGCTACTACTACTACTAGCAGGAGCTGATTCTGGAAGAAAAACTTCCCTACTAATAAATTACTTTAAATTAAGTTATGAGCTGTGACAGCTCCAAAAATATAATAAAATAATCTTCATGTTAATACTAATTATTCCAATTATTAATATTCAAGTCAGAAGATGAATATTTATTGCACTGAAAGGAAGAAAATGATGTAAATGAGGTAAACGGGGTAGAAACTTGAGTCGTGCGTACCTATCGTTGTTCCGTCTTCTCCCATAATGCACTTCATAGAAGTGATGATTTGCTCCACCACAGGAGGAGACATGGAGGTGGCGTACACGGCGCTGTGTGAGTGGCAGCGCAGGAAGTCGATGAGCTCCTGCAGCACAAACCAAGCAGCTTTAACCGACCCAGTTCTGCTCAGACGGGTCAGCACGGCTCGGGTCTCCTGCAGAGCCTCACCCTCTTCCCTGCGACGTAGCCCCTTGCAGCTCCGAAGCTCTTGGTGAAGGTTCCCATCATGACGTCCACGTCACGCCGGTCGAGGCCGAAGTGATCCACCACGCCTCAGCCCCTGGGGCCCAGGGCGCCGATGCTGTGGGCCTCGTCCAGGTACAGGTAGGCCCGGTACCGCCTCTTCAGGGCCATCACCTCCGGCAGCCGCACTATGCTGCCCTCCATGCTGCAGCAGCAAACAGGACCTGCAGCTACAGGACCTGCAGCAGCAAACAGGACCTGCAGCAGCAAACAGGACCTGCAGCAGCAATAGGACCTGCTGCAGCAACAGGACCTGCAGCAGCAGGACCTGCAGCAGCAATAGGACCTGCTGCAGCAACAGGACCTGCAGCAGCAATAGGACCTGCAGCAGCAATAGGACCTGCTGCAGCAACAGGACCTGCAGCAGCAGGACCTGCAGCAGCAATAGGACCTGCTGCAGCAGGAGGACCCGCAGCTGAATCTCTAAATCAACATTTAATCTTTATGTTGGTCTTGCAATTGTATAAACATTTTCTGGAAAGCGTTTCATCTGATCACAAGTCAACGATTCTTAAACCTTCTTTTTGATGAAGCTCCAGACTCTACTTGATGCAGATATTAAATCTTTGCCTGTAATTCTCTTATTTCTAGAAAACAAATGTACATTACTGACACTACTGTAGGGGCCACACATCAGGTCCCTACAGCTGATATGTGGCTCTCACAGATCTCACAATTGAAAAACTGAATCATGATCTTCATCAAAAATCTGACAGATTCTGGGATCTGAATCATCAGCTGGAGACGAGGGCTGACCTCTGACCTCTCCACAGGAGGAAGGAGCGTTAGGGGCCCTAGAGGAGGGGCCCATTAGGGGCCAACCTCACCTGTAGATCCCTTCCACCATGATGAGGATCTTCTTCCAGGGCCGGTGGGTCCGCGGCTGGCTGTGAACTATAGCTTCTCTCAGCAGTTTCTTGAGGCTCTGCATGTCTGCCAGACAGAACCGGTCCAAATGAAACACAGCAGCACGGAGGACCCAGAGACACCACAGCCACCGATGTTTGACCGGGAGACAAGGCCTGCATCGTCTCACAGATTTATCACTCATTGAAAACAGACTCAGACCGTCAGAGAGATGGTTCTGTTGGACTCTGTCCAGCCGCGAACTGAACCTGCAGGAGTTCCTGCCTTCCTGGGATCTGACCCACATTCACCAGAACCACAGTCTTCAGGACCAGGATGTCCTCCTGTTTTCAGAAAGGCCTTAAACTGAGTCAGATGACTGGATCCGATGAATTAGGGTTAGGGTTGCTCCTGTGAACTCTGACCTGACGACAAAACCAGCATTATGAGCCATGAGCTTCCTGCAGCTATGCTAGTTAGCCATGAGGTTCATTATCAGCCATGAGGCTCGTTAGCCATGAGGCTAGTTAGCCATGAGGCTCATTATCAGCCATGAGGCTCATTATCAGCCATGAGGCTTGTTAGCCATGAGGCTCGTTAGCCATGAGGCTAGTTAGCCATGAGGCTCATTATCAGCCATGAGGCTCATTATCAGCCATGAGGCTAGTTAGCCATGAGGCTAGTTAGCCATGAGGCTCATTATCAGCCATGAGGCTCATTATCAGCCATGAGGCATTAACCATGAGGCTAGTTAGCCATGAGGTTCTCTGAGCCAAACTGGGCCAAACTGAGTCGTCTTTTGCTTTTCAGCCCAAAGGTTACAGCTAAAAATTAACAGCAATAATTAGGGTCATTAGCATGGAAGGTTATTATTTTAACAGTTATTAATTTAGAAATATCACAACTTCAAACTACTTCATTAGCAAAGTAAATATGTATTTTACAAACTAAATGTTGAGTTAAAAACTGACATATTTGGCGTATTTCACTTGAAAAGAAAAAATATTTAGCAGACTTACCATAGCTAAATATTGATTTAAAAACTAAATATCTTACTCAGAGTAAATATTTAGTTTAGAACTAAACATTGAGTTCACAAACCAAATGAAAAAAATTCTGAGGATCAATTATCTAAAATATTTTCCTGTAATAAATTTGTGTCACCTTTATGAATAAGTGACAGAAATATTGAGGTTTTCATGCCGTTGTTGATCTTTGAGCAGTGCCTGAAGAACATGTTAAAACTGTAATAACTTGACGAAACAGTTATTCACCTTTAAAAATTAGTAGGTTTTTAAAAATAAACACATTTTGGTTTCTAATCAATATCGGAAGCAAATTCTTTTGCAGAAAAATGATCAAAAACAAGTAAACAATCAAATTTTATTCTAGAAAGTTAAATGTCTATGCTCCTGAGCTTTGGGTCATGACCAAAAGAACGAGACCCCGGATACAAGCAGTCGAAATGGGTTTTCTCTGTAGGGTGGCTGGGCTCTCCCTTAGAGATAGGGTGATCAGCTCAGTCATCTGGGGGAGTCGCTACTCCTTCACGTCGAGAGGAGCCGGCTCAGGTGGCTCGGGCATCTGGTCAGGATGCCTCCTGGGAGCCTCCCTGGTGAGCTGTCCGGGCACGTCCCATCGGGAGCAGGCCCCGGGGAAGACCCAGGACACGCTGGAGGGACCATGTCTTTTGGCTAGCCTTGGGGTTCCCCTGGAAGAGCTGGAAGAAGTAGCTGGGGAGAGGGAAGTCTGGGCCTCCCTTCTGAAGCTGCTACCCCCGCGACCCGACCCCGGATACGCAGAAGACAATGAAAGCTTATCTTCCATTCTTGAATGGATGGATAAATGTCTTAATTAACTATGTTTGATAATACACTTCTTGAACATATTTGTGCTCAGGTAGCGCTCCTTTATGTCCTGATCATTATGAGTGGAGGTTGTGAAGCCTGAAACCCCGCCAGAGCGTTTTCTTCTCAGGTGAGGCATCTCTGCAGCAGCAGTGAAATGTCCAGACCAGTGCAGAAGTATTCATACCCTGTACACTTTTCCTCATTTTGGCAGGTTGTAAACACAAACTCTAGTGTTTCATTGTGACTTTGAATGTCAAACCAACACAAAGCAATGCAAAAAATATAAATAATAGATTTAGAAATAAATAAAAAACAGAAGAAAAGAAACTCTTATCTATTCCTATTTGCTTCTTTCCTTTACCTCTGTCTGAGCCTCACTGCGATGCGTCTGACCTCTGAACTCAACTCAAACCTGACTTGCCATGGCCGAGATGATATCCCTCCCTAACCCTTTGTTGCAGTTAAATTGAACAGTTAATTTAGAGTTTAATTCTTTACATGAATAAATTTTATTGAAATGGGTGAAGTGTTCCAGCAGCAGGAAATTCAGTTGCTGCTGGATTCTAACATGTCTGAGATAGCGCTTTTAAAATGTACACATTACCTAAAACAGGAACCTGACAACTAAAGATAAATATTTATACATTTACTATGTTAACAAATATTGAAAATTCTTGGACCTTCAGAAAATTTGATAACAATTTGAGCAAAGAGAAACAATAAAAAGCGAACTGAAAATTTGTGACTGAAAATCTGATCAATTTTTATGTTTCTGTTTATGTCAATTTATGTTGATGGACACGAGTATGATTATGAGAATAGACCATACTCAACAACTGAATAACTGATCAAATTATTATTTAATAATAAAAAAATACATTGTCAGCTGATCTGAAATGCAAGGTTAAAAGAAACGTTGCTATTTTAACTAACTAGTTATTCCAAACTGATGATTATGAAGAAAATTAATATTTTCTACACTAAAGTTTAAAACCTTTGATCTAGGTTTGACTAATAGATTATTATTAAATTCATAAAGACATTTTGAATTAGAGGCTTTGAGATTTTTGGTGTTCCACTTTGTGTCATGTCTTGTGTTTTTCTGTGGGTTTATTTTGAGTTCTCTGTGTCATCCTGTCTCCTCTCAGTTGTGTCTTGTTTCCATGATTACCCTTAGTGTATTTAACCCCCCTGTGTCCTTTATTCCTGGTCTGTTCGTATGTTGTCTTGTTTTTGTTTCAGTCCAACTGTCTACTTATCTTCCAGTTGCTACCAGTGTTGAGCCCTGGCTTCTGCTCAGATGTGCTGCCTGGATCATTTGGTTTTGGATTGTTGTTTAAATCTACATTAAACCATCTTTTCATCTTCTCAACCTGGGCCCTCAGCATTTGTCTGATCATCTATACCGCAACTTGTGACACCTTGATGAATTTCACAACATCCACATGTAAGATCTTTAACAAAATGCCTATTTGCTAACAGCCCTCCTACAAGCAATACAATATCCAGCTAAAACTTGCAATTTGTAAGTGTGCAGTACATACCACAAGAAAGGATGAGGTTCTATAATAAAATAAGTTAGCTGATCAAATGTTAAAAGAAGACAACATGAAACTGGAAACTTCCCAGAACAAGAAGGAACAGGACACTACCTAGAACAAGATGAAGAACAAATAATAGATGAAATTATTCTAGCTGACATGCAGGATAATACTCCAACAGCAAGAAAATAAATGTGGATATCTAAAGAGGCACCAGTGAATGATGATACAAAATTTCCAGCTAAATAATAAATCCCTATAAGGCGGCAGCAATTTTTGCTGTTGCTTCCATGTTGACACATTATGCGATTACTTTGCTAACACATATGATTTAAAAAAAGTTTAAATTTAAAATTCTTACCTAAAAAATTCCCAAAAGCCTCTTATCCGTTCCAGACAATGCACATGGATTTTATTGAACTTTCACAAAGTGGACCATATAAATTTTGTTTGGTAATGATTGATTCATTTTCTAAATGTGTTGAAATAGTCTCAGAAAAGCACACAGATACTTTGACAGTACCTAAAGCTATATGTAAAACTATTATTCCAACACATGGGATACCACAAACTATTTATTGTGAAAAGCAGATTGACAAAATGTATGGAAACAACAAACAGACCATAGCCAGAATGTTTAGATTAGGTTAAGTTGCACATGAAAATGACACCCACAAAGGAAGGATTAACACCATTTAAAATAATTCATGGAAGACCTTACAGGTTGCTGAGATATTCTGCAGATTTGCAGAAAGCAGATGAAGAGCAAACATTGGCAGATTATATGATTAGGACTCTGAAACAGAAAGGTGTCAAATGCAAAATTACTGCCCTTGATTATGCTCTCCCAAAGAAACCACTCCCACTAAGCCAGGAGACTGGGTGTATATCAAGTCATAAAAAGGAAGAGCTGGGCCAGTCAATAGTGGGAGGGACCATTGCAAGTACTGATAACTACTCCAACTGCTGTAAAGATTGCTGAAAGACCCAGCTGGAAACATCTCAGTCACTGAAAGTTGCAGAGAGTTTTGCGCCAAAAGATTTGCGTGATTGGGAAGTCTGACTTCAAAGGGAATTCACAGTATAGATGTGAGTTGTCTCATTATCAGTGAAGAATCCAACAAATCCTCGCTCTGTTAGACTGTGAGTCCTGACATCTCTGTAATCTGAGTAGCAATGGCATGCCCATTCCAGGTGGGCCCTGTACTGTGTTTGTGACTGCAGCATGCCAACTGTTTTGGAGTGGGACAGCTATAAGAGCAGTCTCGCTCTTATAGGATAAGGAGAGAAGCAGACACATCCTCTCCCCAGACTCATCCACATGACTACTGCACCAACTGCTATGTGTGTATGCACAGGTACCGTCAAAGTTTCACCATCTGCAGCATCATCGTTCCAGGGAACAGAGGGTCCAGAACAATGGCACACTGATACTTTCTATGTGGACACACTCCTTATGCTTCTATTCCCTGGAATTGAGGAGGACTGTGCGCTCTGGTTCCCCTCTCCAACCCAGTGACTTTCCTGAAAATGGTTCAGGACCCTCACAGTCATGGACTCTGCAGGAGGCACGTCATGCCAAAAGGCCAAATATGGGGAGGCCGTACTACAAAAACTGGAGTTCCTTGGAAATTCAGGATCTGGGGTGGCAAAGAAAAGTTTGTGCAAGGCCTATTCTCATGGGTGGGAGGAACTGAAGTTTGAGACCATGTTAAGATCAACAGGTGTGTCCTGCTGCGTCTCATCAACAACACATACCACTTAGCCAATGACACCGCAAAAGAGCTGACTGCGTTGAGAAACATGGTCCTGCAAAACTGGGTTGTGCTAGATTTTCTCACAGCCTCTCAACGAGGTCTCCAAGATCATAGGCTCCAAGAGCTGCACATTTGTCCCTGACAGACATGAGCTGGTGGAGATGTTCATGACGCCCTGCATAAATTGGACGAGCTTAAGAACTATATGGACAGTGCAACTCAGGGATTACAGCCTTTAGACTTTATTTCTTGGCTCACCTCCGGACTCTGGTGGCAGCTTTTGTTAAAGATTGGAACACCCATCTTGACTGTACTGATCATGACCTGCCTGTTCACAACTTGCATCATTCCATGTCTTTGTAGCATGATGTTAAAAGCTTTTAGTCCTGGTCTGATCAGCTATCAGTTGGTCAGGGTGACCTCTGACACAGATGAGGACTACGTATGGCTCCAGAAGAATGAAGATATAAAGTTTTTCAAAAACAAAAACATATAATGTAGTAATTAATAAACAGATTAAATCATTTGCTAAATGAGTCCTACACTGACCATGTGAAAAAAGTGATGCTCGTCATGAAAAATGCATTTGTTTTCTTACCGTTTCTTTCATGCATTATGATCCTTTTTATATAGCATGTGTTTTTCCCAGCAACATAATATATATGTGTATTCTATTTTCCCTTTTCTTAGATCTGCATAGCTTTTATGTAAAAATTATAAACCGGAAGGAAAGGATAAAATTAATAAGTTTCTTAACATTCTTAGATTAGTAGTTTTACTAGTTTTTCATTAAAGGTTTAGTGAATTTGATGACCCGTGTGAAAAAGAAAACTTGCTTTTTCTTAACCTTGCAGCTGTTGCCCCATCTACTCCTTACTTGTGAAACTACCTGTGTGTAGGACGTTAGTTCCTGTGTACTTCCTTTCTTGTTTTCAGAATGGCTCCCTTTTTGATTTATTACCCCCACATTCCTTTCACTCCTGCTTTGGTTTCTGTTAATAAAGAAGACAAGTGCTGAAGCAGAGTCAGAACACATGTTGAGTTGTTTGAAAGAGGAGTTTCTCTGTCTACTCACTTTTGCAAAAGGTTTGATAGAAAATCTTATAAATGTTCTCTGGTTCTCTTTTATGTAAGTTGAGAAAATATCTATCAATCACAATGGTGATAAAATTTACTTAATAAACTAGATGTATTCAGATTTTAAAAATAACTAAAATAAAGTGCAGAGGAATCTGGTGATTATTGATTTTTTTAATAAAATTGGAACCAGATGAAGCTAAAACTGCCTCAAGAGATCTGTGTAGAACAGTGCAACAAAAGAATTTTTAGTGTTATCTTAAATACAAAATATAAATAATTTTGTACAGTTATGGATGAATTACTGTATTGTGTGCCTATATAAAAGTGTGTATACTAATTAATCGATTAATGAACAAGGTGACAATTATTTCAATGATCGATTTTTAAAATTAATAGTTTCAGTGCAAGTTGCAAGCATAGATAACCACACGTTAATCATTTTCGTCATTTATTTTTAGAGTTGATGGCAGTGATGCACAAAGTGTAACTATATCCAACTACAAATTTGTTTTAAACAGTAGATTTTGGCCTCTTTTCCACCCCAGTTGGTTTGGTTTTATTAGTACCAGGACGAGAAATCTGGTTCTTGTTCTTAGGACCAGAAATCTGGTTCTTGTTCTTCGGACCAGAAATCTGAAACTTCAACTCTAGTTGCTCAGTTCTGGGATAACTCACTCTGGTACTGCCAACATGGTTTTGAGCTTTCTGCTTCCAGCGCATGTAAATGATGAGCATGAAACACAAAACACAAACAAAAACTAAAATGTACATAATTATAGCCTGAACTCCCCCACCCTCTGAAACCTTAATGTTGTACAAGATCACGGCCATCCTGTGCTCTCTGCCTTTAACTACTTCCACTGTCTCACAGGTGTAAAGGCCTTCATCAGTGAAGGAAGGTGTTAAAACGAGTCCCTGGCTGAGCAGAATGTGTCGGGGACCGGGCTCAAGGATGTTACCAGAGAAGCTCCAGCTGATGGGGAGATTGGTGTCAGGGGAGCAGGGGAGGAACTGTGCCACGTCAACTGTGAGGTGGATGTCGATACTCTTCGTTGACCCTGTGGGAGAAGCCAAAGCAGCCATAAAAATTCTCCTACTACTCTCCTCACTAAGGTAAAGGTGTGTAAGAGCTTTATGTGGGGAATACTTGCAATGAGAGTTTGGGCAGATTCCAACATCACCATCAGTGAGGTTCTGGATCCTGCAACAAATGAATTCAATCCTCTGATTATAAATGTAGCACACAGTGAACATGTCTTAGTTAGTGTGACATACATGGAGAGGTTTGAAGCACCAGCAACAGCAGCACACAGGCCTCTGAGACGGTCCCAGCCACAGTATGGATCTCTGGCTGTAAGGCAGTCGGCACAGGATGTGTAGCGGCTGCAGTCCCTCACACTGAGCTGAGCAACAGCAGTTCTAGTTGCACTGTACAGCTGACCCTGCAGATCATCAGAGTTCAAAGGTTAGCTCCAGGTCCATTTAGTCTACAGACATGTAGCTGTAACCTACACTTCTAGAGGAGAGCTGAAGGAAGCGAATGGGCTGAGGATCCTGAAACAGCTGCAACTCCTCAATGATTCGCCCTCCATCATCACCAGACCACACCGCCTTCTGCAGCCAACCAGAGTCTGAAGGACAGAACCAGAGGTTAACTCTGGTTTCTACAGGGTAACATGTGTAAAGTTACAAAGAATGCTGATAAATATGATTTGGTTTATTTAGCAAAATAGTTAGCTATCTAATTAAAGGTGTGTTTTGCAAGTTACATATTTAGTTTGTGAACTAAATATTTAATCTGGAACCATGACATTTATGTCAGGATTCTGGTTGTGAGAGCGTGTGCATGAGAGTGTGAGTGGGAGTGTTACATCTTCTTTCAGCGAGGATCTTCGTGAGGAGCCTGTGGAGCCAGCGCAGGTGACGCTGATTTGCCTCATCAGCGTGCTGGAATATAGGAGCGGCAGAATCCTCCAGTCATCGCTAGATGGTTAACGCTACCGGTAGTCACTCTGGCCTCACCTGTTGAAAACTTGTTTCCTGAACCTTGTTGTGTAACTCGAAGTTACTTATTCTCCGTGTCCTGTTCGTTTCCATGACTTTTTTGTGTTCTCGTTTCAAGAAGCTCCTGACATTGCCTGCCTGCTCCGCCGTTTCCACTGACTCCATCCTGTTCCAACCACCCGAGATAACGCCCCGCACTCACTCCGGCACCGCTGCACACCCTCACGTTGGATCCTGACGCCTCACCCGTAAGCTCTGGAAAATCCGCACCAATGTAAGCTAGCTCCTGATTCCTCCTCCGAACTCACACTCTGAACCCGTTATAATTCAGCTCTCGTTTCAGGCCAACCTGGTCGAGCGACACTCGCCGCCTATCGAAGTCCAGAGAACTGAATTTTATTTGTCTTGTTGTAAATAAATCACTTGCCTTTCTATCCAGTGTGTGGTTCCTGCATGTGGGTCCGCAAGTTAAATCAAACCATGTCAATTTATGCATGTATAACCTAATGAAAATAGATTTTTTCCTTTATGACTAGCTAAATAAATGAAAGTATTGTTGGTAAATTTTTACAGTGTAAGTTGTCGTGAAAACTGATATGAGGAGGTGAGATCTGTCCAGGGTCCATGCAGAAAACAAATCATATCAGGCCTGAGAGACTGAAGTAATCTTGTATGATGATTCAATGTTGATTATAGAAAAATGTATTATGTCAATGTATCATGTAGTAAGTCAAAATATTGATGATTATAAAGTAAGTTCTGAAGTTGATTGTTAGTTGATTGTTGAAAATTATATAAACCAGTTGAACAATGAAGTATAATCATAATGAATCAAAAATAATGAGTCCTAAGAAGTAATGATTGAAGAAATGTATTAGAAATTATCATGTTGATGAATTACATGTCTGTATATTATATAAAAGACTAAAATCGAAGTAAATGAAAGTGTAGGGATAAACTGTGGGTGCAAAAGGCGAGCTTGGACATGTTCCGATAACGAGCGGAAGGGCCGTTCTCAGACATTAACCAGAAGCCTAAAATGTAATTACACCGGAGCAGAAGGCAGCAAATGATGACCATATATGGAAGAGCATGGTGCCTGGTATGAGGTAATTACATTTCTGGGAAATGAAGTGATCTGCTCCCCGTACACAATAATGGGAGAGTAAAGTATAAATACCCGAAGGACTAAGGAACCGGGTTCTTCATCTCCGGCAAGTGGAAGGAGCAACAGCGGGCCAAGAAAAACCAAGGGAGCTTCGCCGGACCAAGAGGGAAGATAATCTACACTTCGCTGGAAGGAAAGACAGGACCTGACGCCCAACAACTCTGGTTCTTAATTCGATTGGAGCTCCACACTCAACCCAAAAGAGATCTCAAGAATTGCTGCAACGGACTTGGGGACTGGACAAAGATCACAAAAGTCATGAAGATTTGGGACGTTTGAAAGATAACTACCAACTCTGCTTTGTTCCTGTTCAGATGAGGATTCGTTGTACCAAGACAAGATTCTGCCCAAGGACATTGACACTTCTGTTGCTGAGATCCCCTGTCATCTGGGTATGAGTTGCCTGCACCCCAAAAGCCTTTTAATAAATTGATGGCACTGTTTGGGAAAGGTGTTAGGAGAAGTTTACGTTGATTTTATACAAATTTAAAATTTTAATCTTTAAACTTATAATCATTGAATATTAATCTGTTTGCCATTTACTCCTGCTTAAAGCTTGCTCAAATAAATAAATATATATATATAAATTCTATTGAGGTTTGTGGACAGTGAATTTAATTGAGTCATCTTATTAATATCGGTTCTTCTACTTAATGTAAAATTCATGCTCATGGTTCTAGAAAAGTGGTGGCTTCGGACTTTCCTTTAGTTGACATATAAAATAATGACCCTGGGACTCACAAAGTCAGTAAAGATATTCTAGTCGGTAACAAGCGCTTGTAATTCTTAGAGAGAGGGCTACTGTTAACAAGAGTGGTTATTGGGGTTATGCAGTTGCGAGGGCTACTCAACTGATTGCTCCTTAACTGAAAAGGGTCATAACTTCTGGATAGTAGTTAGTTAGAGCTAGACGAGTCTCTCTCAACACCAGCTTAGACAGATTGTTCCTCTCAGACCTTCTGCAGGGTAATACCCAGGTTTCGGGAACTTTCTGGACCCGTTAGACAGAGAGCTGGTCAGTAGTCAGCCCAGAGGAGTTGTGAGGATTAGGGCGGGTCTGGCTATTGCATAATAACCTTCATGGCGCCCAATGTGGGGCGGTTCCAAATAATAGTAGGAGGGCCCTTCGTTCTAAGTCAGTAAAAACAGATGTGTGAATCTGAATAGCTCACTTAGTGTTACAACTTTAAGGAAATAGAGTTAGTGGTGACTGATAGGCCTTCAGTCACAACCCTTGTAGTAACTGTACAGCGTGCAGGTGAGGGAAAGCTTCTACTGAGGATAAATGACCAGATCCAGACAGTGAAGCCAGTAGCCACTGCAGCCTGAAACCATCCCTACTCGATGATGTCAAGAGAGGCTTTGGGGACAGGCAACTCGAAGACAAAGATGAAGATGAGTGCCAGTGAGGAAGCGCAAGCATATTGGCACCAAATAATATCGTTCTCACAAGCATTTCCCGTTTCAGCCGGGAAAGACATGGCTGGAACGGAGGGGGAGAACAGTCTGTTCTCTCCCAATCCATGTTAAAGAAGCTTCCAGTAAAGCTGATGCTCTTTGGAGAAGCGCTGGAACACTGGGCGACGATAAATCAGCGGACATTCTTCGCTCATCACTTCACCGAGAAAAAAGACCATATTCAAGCCACGATGATCGCTATAGTGAGGGATCGAGGCATCTACTACTGCTCCAGAATGATCGGTGGTGCCCAGGTGGGTGTTATCCGCAGCCCAGTGGAAGTCAGCAAGAAAAGTGAAATCAAAGCCTGGCTAGAATGGCTAGCTGACCTGCTTGGGAATTGGACTGATGGAGAAATAATGACTATCTACAGTGCCTCTGAGAAGTATGATGGCACAGTGAAAACAGCATCCAGAGTAGCTGGGATAGATGGGATCCTGGTGGACACATACGCCAAAGGAACCTACAAATATCAAGAATGCGAAGAGGTGTTGGGGTAACTTGCAGCCTACAGGAAGCGAAGGGAGAAAGAACAACGACCAACCCAGAACATCGAACCGGACGACTCGGATGCGGCTGAACCACCAACCAGGGCCCCCAACAGAGCCCCGGCACCCAAGAATAAAGAAACAGAGACCATTGACTTAACGGGGGACCTCAGCAGGGAAGAACCGGATCAGCGCAGCCCATCGCCTGACCAGCGTCGACCGGGTCCATCCGGACACTACAAGGGATAACCAGAGGAGGCTGGAGGAGGAACTTCCCATCATCAGTTCACCGTGCAGTGGCTGCAAAAGGCGTTGGACGAGTGGTCTACACCTCAGGGTTCAAGAAGGAAGTTCCAGCCACCAGCCCACAGCAGTGAAAGGAAGCAACCGACGTTGCTATAGGAACTGTCTGAGAGCAGCGCATACGATGAAGGCAATGCAACAGATGAAGAACTACAAGGGAATACTAAGCCCAGGAAGGCGACACAGAAGTCCGGAATCCGAATGGTGTCCCAGTAAATTTTTTACAGTGTAAGTATACAAACACCACACACACATCTCTCTTATGTTCAGAGTGAAACTGCATGTAGCATTTGCGTGTTCATTGGTCAATACAGCCATTGCCCAGTCTGATCCTGCCAACAACGCCAACATGTGTTAAGTCATTATTTATGGTCCAGTTACTTACTGTTGCTAATAAACATGATGTTGTGCTGCTGTCCATCCAGAGATGTTACTTTGTCAACAACAATTCTTGAGAACTGAACCATAGACCGGACCAGCAGGGGCCTCCCACTGATCGGTTTCACGGCTTGCTCCATCAGAGGGTGGTCCTTCACAAACATCAGGGTCGAGTCTGGGATGTCATGAGAAGTCCTTACATTTTCCTTTCGCATTTCATCATTAATACACTGATAATACAGATCAGAGATCATGTGAGACTAATCATTTTATTTACTACCATCTAATATGAGTTTGGGTTTCATGCTTACCGAACCAGGGTAAGTGCTAAATATTGTTCCTGTGTACCTCACCCAGCTGCCAGAATCAGTCGCGGACATAACGTTCCCCCTGTAAACTTGCTGGATGTCTGACAGCTTGTAGGCGCAGACAGCAGACTGACTGCAGGTACTGGACGGCTTCCTGCAAAATAAGTGCTGTCACTACCAGGTCAAGTAAAACATTAACTTGGAGCACTGCACGCTGCCAAAAAGGGATTTTGGTTGTAGTTCATTTCATGGACTTATTTATATTGATGTCACTTAATTCATGTTGTTTAGTGATGACAACTTACTTTTTTGTGTTCAATCACTTAACAGTTACACATTGAAAAAGCTTAAATTAACTCAATGAAATTAAATGAACATTTAATTTCATTTAAATGAATATTTGTTAATTTAAATGAATATTTAAATGTTTGCTCCAGGTCCATTTAGTCAAATAAATAAAGTATTTATTCTCAACTTGAGTTGAGAATAAATAATTCTGCTTTTTCCTTCTATGTCTTAGCTTGTTGCAAAACTAAAGGAGGTAACATGTTAGGAAACACCCTCAAAACTAAGGTTAAAGGATATGACACACTTGGGAGTGCCCTCTTTAGGGCCTCTGAAGCTTAGTCACATTAAAACCAAAATAAAAAAGACCATGAATTAACTTTAATGCTCTTGTTATTCAGCAGACAAAATTAATTTAGACAGCCAACAGAGACTGAAAACCATCAGTAGCCATCAATATTTATGGCTCCTGATGAATGATTGGATTTTGGAAGAGCAAAGAGTAAAAAAACAAAAACAAATTCATGATATTAGTTTTCGACCTCAGCCAAAATGATCTCCTCTGGACAAAGTGTGGTAAGCATTTGGTCCGGACCGTTAACGGACATGGACCTGATGTTTTTATTTTCAACCCGACACCATCAGAAAGAAAACAACATCACAGCTCTATAAATGGTGACAAATACAGAAATCTCAGTTAATTCTTAGGCAGAATTGGTTCGGAACCAGAGAGGATCAGAGTCTGAGCCTTTCTTCAGCCTTTCTTCAAAAAGTGACTTCCTGTCATAAGTGAATGAGGCTAAGGTGATGCCATCACTTGAACATAATGTGACCGGTTCCTGATCCCAACCAGAAAATAGAGAAACTAAATTATAATGGGAGACATCAAAAATATTGGGCTGATTGCACCAGCAAAACACTGGATGTAGCCCAATAGGGTGAAGACTCCCTGTGACCTCGTGACAGCTCTACGCTAGGTTCTAGATATTGACTAGTTTGGCGAATTGTTTCTGCTGATTTTATTTTGCTGTTAGGTTTTCCTCCTTCTAACTTCTAAATTAGAAAATATTTTCAAAATGCTCAAGCAATCTTCGTTTAGAATGAAATTAAGACAGAAACACCAAGATTCTGCGGATTGGACTGGAGATATGTTTTAGAGGAGGACAAGATTCCTGGCAACATCTGGAAGGAGCAGTCTGCAAGATAGCTCAGGATACATATGGACATACTCAATGATTGTTGTGAGGTGATATTCATATCCAGTCTTCTTCTGGAAACAAGCTAATGTATTTGGATTTATGGAAAACAAACCATTTCAACAACCTACATATTGAAAACCTGAGACTTGACTTACGAGCTCAAGGTGAATGTTGCATAGAAGATGCTGTCGGTCACGTTATTTTCATCTTGGAGAAAAAAGACATCCTGCACCACAGACTCTGAACCTTCATGTCCAAACGGGCAGTCCAGACGGGCTTTCAGAAAAGAAGTCCACTGTTTCTGCAAAATTCTCAATCCTCCCAAGTCACTCTGAATCCGCACAGATGTCAGATTTTAATACTGATTCATGTGATGTTTTAATGGAAGTTTGACATTTAGAGACATACTTTACACACTCGTGCAACTGTTGACAGTCGCAACTTGTTGCGTTGATTTCTGTTTTCGATCTCTGTGAGGAACAAGAAGACGCTGTCGTCCTCGTTGTTGTTTGAATGTTTGCTGATTTCAGCAAACTTAATGGAAATCATGGTGGGTTCTGATAACAAATCATTTAAAATGTATCGTTATATTTGACAAGATTTCATAGTTAAAGAACCTTTAACTGTGTCAAGCGGCCACCTCACCATTGAGCCAAGACCATATTTGTTCAGTACTCAGGGAAGGCTTCCCATGTCTTTGGAAAGATGTTTCTGTTCCCAGGAAGTTTATAGAACCAGCGGTATACAACGAGTTTCCTGTTGAGAACAGAGGAAAAGTTTGACAATTTCTGAAGCAAATCATTACAAAAACATTCTTTCAGTATGAGTGGGATCCACTGAAATCACAACTCTTGTTCTGGATAGTATGAGCCATGTTTAGGTAGAGTTCATTATGTCATTCTATGTCAGTTGGCACAGGATTAAATCCATATGAATCTGGAGTGAAAGTAAGACATACAGCAGAAAAAAGTGACTTCCTGTTATAAGTGAATGGGGCTAAGGTGATGCCATCACTTGAACATAATGTGATCAGGACAAGTCTGTAGTGAGACATTGTTAATCTGATGCTGCTGTGACCTTGCAGGTGGAAGTTATTGAACCTTGATGTTTAATAGAAAATAGTCAAATTTTGACACTAAGCCACACCCACATATTTTGATGTATGAGAAATCTTTTGATAACTTTTGAACTTCAATGCCTCAAGAGTGTGCTGAGTGATTCTGAAGTCTATATCTGAAAAACTGTAGAATGAGCTTGATCAGATACGTCTAAAAAAGAAAATGAGGGCTGTGATCCAACTTCCTGTTGGGTTAAACCATGGCTTCAAGAGACTTTTTTGTAGGTCATGACAAGATACACTAAGTTTCATTATTCTAGGTTAAAGTAGGCTTCCTTGACAGCATGCGGGGCTGTCATGGAAAAATTACAATAAGGTCACATCTGCTAGTCATTTCATAGGAAATGTTTAACTCTTACCAAAAGAACTATTTGGGTTACTTGTACGAGGTTGGAAGGTTGTTTTCAACTGCTGCGTAAGGAACAGATCGTCTTGCTCCTTGTTCTCCTTCTTTATCATCGTATAAAAACTTACATGTTGTCTCTGCCTTGCAGAGCTTAGCAAGCTGAGTGAACTGGATTAGCCATGCATCCAGACTGGCTTGATTATTGATTGTCTTATGAGCTCTCTGTATGATGCACAATACACGAATAAACCTGATTGAGTGATTCTACCTGGACAGTGCTTGGAAATAGTTTCATCCACAACAGGGTTGATCATTTAAAATATTCTAGGGAGAGCTATAGAGAACGATTGTTATGGATTCCTGTTGAGAGTTGGATAAGGACCCATCCTCGTGAGTTTGGTTCAGTTTGGCTCGAAACTGTGGAATTTGGAGCCAGACGTATGGCAATGGCGTTAGAGGTAACTTTGCCACACCACCATACCCACCTACTTCATTGATTTTGGTCAAGCCTGGAATCCACAACACACCAACATGTCTTTTGTCTTTGGACACAGTTTCATGTTGATTACATCAAAGGGGTTAGATAGCGACTGTTCACAGTAAAACATGACAGTTTCCTGTTCTCACGGGTCGTGGCCTATATGATGTCATCATTTGACCATTGGGTATTGTAGTGCACCTGATGATCAATCACTGAAAGTTTGGTGCCTCTGAGTCTTTGTGTACGATATAAAAGTTTCGTGTTTCATGGTGAGTACGAACTTTGATCTCTGATAACGCCCCTTGGTCAAAGACTCACCGTTTTGATAACTTTTAATTGGCTGTCTTTTGTACAATCTGAAGTCGATTGATCAAAATCCCAAGGAGTTCGATCAAATGTGGAGAATATAAATGGCCAAAATGGGGTTAAAATTGGAACTTCAATCAAAAATGGCTGACTTCCTGTCTGACTTGCAAGATGACATTAATTGTATGATCTGTGCACCTTGGGGAGCGTCTACAATAGTACCAAATTTCTTGTCTCTATGATGAAGTAAGGTCATAGCGGCGTGTCTTTTGAAAGTTGCTAGGTGGTGCTGTTGAGTCGTTTCTTGTGTGATTCTTGCGACGACTGGAAAGTACATAAATTTCACACAAGTTGTAAGTGTGAAATTTTGAATATGGTGAGTTTTTGAATATGATAAAGTTCCCAAAACCCCCCCAAAATACCCCTCTGTGGGGGGGCAGAATCGTAAGTAAAGCTGCAAGCAACGTTGTGCAGCCCTCGCACCTCAGGACTGCTCCAGCCTATTTGCTACCGCTCACCACAAGCTCTTGTGCAGTTCCCATGCCCATCCGCTGGATGATATGCATTCGGCAGCACTCCCCAACGACGCACAAAAAATCTGGCGCAGATCAGCCAAGGAAGCGAGGAGATATAGCTGATGGATAAAGCTTGGAAATGCAGCTTGGAGATGCAGCACAGTCAAATTACATTTCTATGCTGTTGGGCTCTTTAGAGGTGAACAAATGTCACACATATCCACAATGGTGCCAATCAGATGATCCATGTGTGATTTAGAGACGATTGTGTGCACATGGCAAAGGAGCCGCTTCTTGTGCGATTCATGCGACAACCTTAAAATACATAAATTACACGTGGACACAGTACGGCTGTTTGCCCACCTGAAAGCCTGGTAAACTCGAATGGATTGCATACCAAAATCGAAACATTTTTTATGACCGTCGGCTGATGCGATTAATTTTTACACCGAACTGTCAAACAAACCAAACTGAGCAACCTAGTGATGAGTATCAATATTAATTGGCAGATTTCACCTGATTCTCACCTTTTCTGCTATTGTATTTAAGCATGGGGATAAAAATCATCGTACCAACCATTCATCAGGGAAGCAAACTTTTCATCGGGCTTAAAAGGAATTTTCCCCCTGCCATTCTGGAAACTGTCTTCCATGGTCACTTTTCCTTCCTGAAACATCTGAAAAATATTCAGTATTTATAATAATTTAGAAACTATACTTCTAATTCTTCCTACACAATAAATACCCAATAAATGGTTCTGATACTGAAGGACAACAATTCCAGCCTTAGGCATTGGAGGAACGTACCAGGTGTGTGCAGGTAGGGTCGAATGCTTTGGTTCCACAAACCAGAATTTTGCCATCATCCTGAGTGTGCATCATCGTGATGTAGTTGTCACATTCCTGTTAGAAGAACAGCTATTTCTCCAGACTATGTTAAGATGAGGGAGAACATTTGACATTTCCTTATTTTAATGAGCTGTAGTGTACCTCGATGCTCCTGCCTTTCACCTTACACAGAGCTTTTTCTCTAGAGGTCACCATCCAGTTAATCTAACAAAAAGACAAATCAGGAAGTCAACATGTTTATGAGGAGATGCATGCGAAATTCCTTCATTAGGTATGAATCTAAAAAGAGGAATATCTATCAGGGGTGCACAGTGGTGAAGTTGGTAGCATTGTTGCCTTGCAGCTTGAAGGTCCTGGGTTCGATTTCTGACCCGGGGTCTTTCTGCACAGAGTTTGGATGTTCTCCCTGTGCATGCATGGGTTCTCTCCGGGTACTCCGGTTTCCTCCCACACTCCAATAACATGACTGGCATTCTCCGTAGGTGTGAGTGTGTGTTGTCCTGTCTGTCTCTGTGTAGCCCTGCGACAGACTAGGAACCTAGCCAGGGTTACCCCGCCTCTCGCCCGGAACGTTAGGTGGAGAAAGTCACCTGCACCTCCCAACCCCACTAGGGACAAGGGTGTAAGAAAATGGATGGATGGAATATCTATCATAAGGGGTGCATTGTGTAAGATATTGTGTATCTTTTGTAAAGATACACCATAAATATCTAACAGAGGTAATTTGGTTTATTATTTGCCATATTTTCCAAACTATAAGTCACTCTGGAGTATTAGTCGTATTTTGGGGGAAAATTTATTTGATAAAAACCAACACCAAGAACAGACATGTCATCTTGAAAGGCAATTTAAAATAAAAAGAATAGAGGCAACAACAGGCTGAATAATTGTACGGTATGCTAACGCTACATGACACATAATGAACTGAGGCCTGATTATTAACATAACATCCATCCATTTTCTGAGCACCCTTCTCCCTAACGGGGTTGGGAGGTGCTGGTGCCTCTCCAGCTGCGCTCCGGGCGAGAGGCGGGGTCACCCTGGACAGGTCGCCAGTCTGTCGCAGATTAACATAACATATTAAGAGTTATTCATATAACTATAGCATAAATAACATGCTAACAAGATTACCAAACCAACCGTGTCAATACAAATCACTAAATCTTCATCTTCGGTGAAGATTTACCTCCGCTAAATCCGGAGGTAGCTTCTACCACACACATTATCCACACAGGCCTCGAGCGCCCTCTTGTGGTTTAGTGTGAAAATAACATGTGATATGATGTAATAATGTGTTGTTAATTTCACACATAAGTCGCTCCGGAGTATAAGTCGCACCCGGGCCAAACTATGAAAAATATTGCGATTTATAGTCTAGAAAATATGGTAGTCTGCAGTAAGTTCAACCTTAAGAGACTCACACACACACACACACACACACACACACACACACACACACACACACACACACACACACACACACACACACAAAGAAAGAATAGGTATTAAAAGGTTTTTATTGGCAAATGATATTTGCCAATTAGAATGGATTTGAATCGGTTTTCTCTTTGTCAAAACCACAATTCATGACAAGGAAGAGATATGAGACTAAGAGTTCATGGATGCGGGACAGCTTTTCAGCCGGAAGTGAGGCTGCCATGAACTCAGAGTCTCGGGTGAAGCCTAGAAACTCTGGTTGGCTGATGAATTTCTCCTTGGACAATGGAACCCTATATGACAAAGGAACCCTACATGACTCAACAACCGTTGGAGAATACCTAATACCAGGGGAAGCAGCAGGGGGATGATTGAGGAGGAAGTCATCAAGCAGGTCCAGGGCTGAGGGTAGATTAGAGATGTTGAGCAGAATCCAACAGAGAGCTTGGGAGACATTATTGAAGTGGCAAGAACTACTCCTGCACCTGAAGGTGAGCCTGACTTTGAAGTAAAAACAGTTATCCCATTTTGCTCCCAGCAAGTACCACAAAGAAGGGTGCATGGGCATGACCTTCTTTGTGGTCATGCCCATGCAATATTGGCAATATTGGCCTTGGCGAGCCAAGCACCTCAACCCGTGATTTTTATGAGGGCAATGGCATAATGAATGGAAGCAGAGTACAATGAGAATGGGGGGTTTGGGAAGAAGAGAGTTAATGGTCAGATATGGGTTGGAATGAGGATGGATGCAGGATGGATGCGAGGACAGACTGACTTAAGTTGTTCTTGCTTGAACAGGCTGCAGACATGAAGAAAATTACAAAATGGAAATGAACCAGAGCTGTCATTAAAGTTAGTATAAATGGGGTTTTTATTGAAGACCTGAACTCTTCTTCCGCTGCAATCCATGGTTAGAGGGGGCTGGAAGTTGATGTCAGACAGGAGTAGGAAGCAGCGGAATGGAGGGGCAGAGGGAACTTTGATGGCCGACAGAGACGCAGGAGGAACAGGAAACAGCTTGGGTGAAAATGATGAGAATTGTCGTATCAAGAACAGACCAATCTAAGCAAACACCAGATTGAGATTGAACTTAAGTGGCATTAGAAATGGAAGCTTTGTGATAATGTTAAAAAAAATGGAACAACTGTACTTAATATGCAAGTCTATGATAAGGGACAAATAAGCATCAAGTTTCACCCTATGATTGGGATAGATAGAGCAGAAGAAAATAGATGGAGCGGTGGTTGAAACCAGGTGAGAATGAGGGGAGCCCCGGTGGCATTTGGCAGGGGGATCGGAGGATTTTTGGAGCGCTAGCCAGATGCCAATGAAGTAAGAGGAGGAGGCCAAAGAGGAGACGGGGAGGAGTCCTGAATGGGGAGAAGGGCGGCAATGTTGGAAATACAGGTCGGAAATACCTGCTGATCGTAGTACGGAAGAGGGAGAAGGTTCATCGGGGCAGCCTGCCGAACAAGTGCTTCCGTAAGGTGGGGGAGGAGAAGCACCAAGAACCTCCAAGATGAGATTGCTGGAATCGAATTTGGGACATGGAATCAGACAATGACTGGTCAAAACTCGGCCAAGGAGCGGGTGAAGACGAGATGCTGGATCTTATCAAGGGCATGATGCTTGATGATTGGAGGAGATGAGGAAAAGATTATCATCGATTGGCTCTGATCAATGCACATAATGATGATGCCCATTTTTTCCTCCCATGACAGGCTAATTAAGTCAAATTCTTACAGTTAATTATTGACTTTGTAACTCAAAAAACGTTCCACCATACTCTTTTGCTTCTTGTGTATTTTCATTGATGTTTCACCACTTAAGCCCAGTTCCTACCTCACTGGTCTTTTCAGTGATGTCATCCAAACGGAGCGTCATGACCTTTCCTCTGGCTCCGATGAAGAGCAGACCGATGTCTTTCTCACCAACAGGGAGCTCAAACCATCAAAGTCAGGCTTCTTAAACAGCTTCAGGTTAACACCTGAGGGAAAGAATCCAACCGTTATCCTCAGGCTACTTTAGAAATCAGACCATTTAGTTCTCTGCATTCTATTTAGAGATATCATAGTAAGAGGGGGTAGACAGCATCTTCATTCTACACTCATATTACTCTATCCATTTTATGCAGTGCTTTGTGTTGGCTTTGTCATTCAAAGTCACAATGAAGCACTAGAGATTTTATTTACAACCTGCTGAAGTGAGGAAAGGTCCACAGGATGTGAATACTTCTGCACTGGTCTGGACATTTCACTGCTGCTGCGAAGATGCCTCACCTGAGAAGGAAACGCTCCGGCGGGGTTTCAGGCTTTGGGCAAATCCTCCACTCATAATGATCAGGACATAAAGGAGCTCTACCTGACTCTTCATCATACCCTCAGACAGGAAATGAAGAAAAACACATTTTATATACCAGTTGTTTTGGAAACAGCAGTTTTTGTCTTGTTTTAAAGTTGGACATCACAGCCTATTATAGCTAGAAGTTGTTAGCTGAAATGTCTCCGAAATATTATGGATTTATGAATTATGAAATGAATCTCACAAACAAGTTTATTTACCTCTGATCCTTCCATTAGCATCTGTAGCATCTTGCTTAGATAATGACTAAACCATGCGTTATGTTTTATGCTGTTTCGTTATTTAAACAGTAAGTACGCTTAAGAAGAGCATTCTTGAGTACGGTGGATTAAAACATTCATTTTGTAAAAAAAGGTTGTGATGGCTTACCTGGTATGGGTGATTATGTAGAGGCAACTTACTTCTGATAACTCAGAAGAACCAAAACATGTTTATTTTTAAAAGCAGGGGCAGCATCCTTTGAAGGCCAGATTTGTGGGTTGATTGCATCATAGCATGGCAACAGGGACTGTCTGAATTCAATGACTCCTCCAAATGCATTCACCACATGCGTCCTTTTCCCCAGATTTGAAGGAAACGTCCGGTGCATCCTTCATGACCTTCTGTATCCCATGTTTGCAAAGTGGGTGTTCAGACAAGGCGGCAATAGAATTACCATTTCATAGTGTGATCAAGCCAGCTCCAAAACAGTGCAAACAATGTAGGAAATATTTACAATACAGACATAAATATATTGATTATTACACTATTAAATCAATCAATTTTTACATACATTCACACATGCACATATAATCAACATATAAGTTTTTCTAATACGAAGCCTTTGCTTTTTTATGGAATTATTAGCATATTAGCATCTTAAAACGTAAGATAAATTGACATCATTTCCACAGTGAATACTCGATCATTTGCAGCAAGTGGTGCATCTGCAGCCATGAAAAATACTTAAAAGGTCATTATGTGAAAATCCCAGCTCCTCTGTACTCAATTTAATTCCATATAGATCTGAAATGGGGTTTACATTCATTGATTAATATTTGAATATCAAAAACATTCTTTATTTGGTTTTATTTATTTATTTATTATTTTTTACAGAAATTCAACCAGATGAATCTAAAACTGCCACCAGAGGAGTTGTATCTAGAACAGAATGCAGACCATGTTTTTTTAATTTTAAAAACAAAATATTGTTTTGTAGTTTGTTCTTAATTAGTGCTCACTGTTATTTTAACAAATAGGCTTTTAGAGTCTGCATGATCCATTTAACAATACATTGATTCATATATTAAGTGATGATTATTTTAATAATCGATTCGTGCCGGCTCTGTGGTCGGCATGAAGCTGGACTCTCTGGTGACGGTGGCAGAGGCGAGGACACTGAACAAACTGCTGGACATCATGGACGATAGCAGCCACCCTCTACACGCCGTCATCAGCAGCCAGAGGAGCCTGTTCAGTGACAGACTGCTGCTTCCCAAGTGCCGGACCAATAGATTCAAGAACTCCTTTGTCCCCCACGCCTTCAGACTGTACAACTCCTCACTGGGGGGTTGGAGGTGACACAGGACAGAGGGAAGAAGGAGTAGTGACCCCTGGTACTTTTCTGCAAATATCCATACTTATCAGGTCAAACCACATAGTGCAATATCATATCACTGGTCAATCTATCTGCCAAATTTCTATATTTTCTCTTGTGTTGTATTTATATTTTTTATTTATATTTTACCTATATTCTTATTCCTTACTTATTTTTGCTTAATTTAAGATTTTGGCTACTCACATTTAGTGTGTACCTTTGTATTTAACTTGTATTTCTTGTATTCTTTTGTATTTTGCGCACTGTGTGCCAATTTTCTGCCTGTAAGCTGCTGGTAAGTTCAATTTCCTGAGGGAGTCTTCCCAAGGGATCAATAAAGTACAAGTCTAAGTCTAAGTCTAACAGTTTCCACAATAGTTACAAGCATGGATAATGACACTTTGATCATTTTAATCATTTATTTTTTTATATTGTCTGCAGTGCTGCACAAAGTCAAACAGAATTGGCTTGTTCTGTTACCAAATTCAGTGGCATCCCTCTGTTCGTCTTCGACTGGTGGGGATTCCCAACTGCCACTGTCACTCTCAATCTTAATACCCCCAGTCTTGTTTTGAGAATTCTTTTCCCACCAGGTGTATATCTTTGCCATTAGACACAGCACAGAAAAAAGAGCTAAAACAGAGATAATTGTCGCCTGAAACCAGTTTCCCCCACCCTCTGAAACCTTAATGTTGTACAAGATCACCGCCATCCTGTGCTCTCTGCCTTTAACTACTTCCACTGTCTCACAGGTGTAAAGGCCTTCATCAGTGAAGGAAGGTGTTAAAACGAGTCCCTGGCTGAGCAGAATGTGTCGGGGACCGGGCTCAAGGATGTTACCAGAGAAGCTCCAGCTGATGGGGAGATTGGTGTCAGGGGAGCAGGGGAGGAACTGTGCCACGTCAACTGTGAGGTGGATGTCGATACTCTTCGTTGACCCTGTGGGAGAAGCCAAAGCAGCCATAAAAATTCTCCTACTACTCTCCTCACTAAGGTAAAGGTGTGTAAAGAGCTTTATGTGGGGAATACTTGCAATGAGAGTTTGGGCAGATTCCAACATCACCATCAGTGAGGTTCTGGATCCTGCAACAAATGAATTCAATCCTCTGATTATAAATGTAGCACACAGTGAACATGTCTTAGTTAGTGTGACATACATGGAGAGGTTTGAAGCACCAGCAACAGCAGCACACAGGCCTCTGAGACGGTCCCAGCCACAGTATGGATCTCTGGCAGTAAGGCAGTCGGCACAGGATGTGTAGCGGCTGCAGTCCCTCACACTGAGCTGAGCAACAGCAGTTCTAGTTGCACTGTACAGCTGACCCTGCAGATCATCAGAGTTCAAAGGTTAGCTCCAGGTCCATTTAGTCTACAGACATGTAGCTGTAACCTACACTTCTAGAGGAGAGCTGAAGGAAGCGAATGGGCTGAGGATCCTGAAACAGCTGCAACTCCTCAATGATTCGCCCTCCATCATCACCAGACCACACCGCCTTCTGCAGCCAACCAGAGTCTGAAGGACAGAACCAGAGGTTAACTCTATTTTCTACAGGGTAACATGTGTAAAGTTACAAAGAATGCTAACAAATATGTTTTGGTTTATTTAGCAAAATAGTTAGCTATCTAATTAAAGGTGTGTTTTGCAAGTTACATATTTAGTTTGTGAACTAAATATTTAATCTGGAACTATGATATTTAAGCATGTATAACCTAATGAAAATAGAGTTTTTTCTATATTACTAGCTAAATAAATGAAAGTATTGTTGGTACATTTTTTTACAGTGTAAGTATACAAACACCACACACACATCTCTCTTATGTTCAGAGTGAAACTGCAGGTAGCATTTGCGTGTTCATTGGTCAATACAGCCATTGCCCAGTCTGATCCTGCAACGCCAACATGTGTTAAGTCATTATTTATGGTCCAGTTACTTACTGTTGCTAATAAACATGATGTTGTGCTGCTGTCCATCCAGAGATGTTACTTTGTCAACAACAATTCTTGAGAACTGAACCATAGACCGGACCAGCAGGGGCCTCCCACTGATCGGTTTCACGGCTTGCTCTATTAAAAAGTGGTTCTTCACAAACATCAGGGTTCTGTCTGGGATGTCATGAGAAGTCCTTACATTTTCCTTTCGCATTTCATCATTAATACACTGATAATACAGATCAGAGATCATGTGAGACTAATCATTTTATTTACTACCATCTAATGTGAGTTTGGGTTTCATGCTTACCGAACCAGGGTAAGCGCTAAATATTGTTCCTGTGAACCTCACCCAGCTGCCAGAATCAGTCGCGGACATAACGTTCCCCCTGTAAACTTGCTGGATGTCTGACAGCTTGTAGGCGCAGACAGCAGACTGACTGCAGGTACTGGACGGCTTCCTGCAAAATAAGTGCTGTCACTACCAGGTCAAATAAAACATTAACTTGGAGCACTGCACGCTGCCAAAAAGGGATTTTGGTTGTAGTTCATTTCATTGACTTATTTATATTAATGTCACTTAATTCATGTTGTTCAGTGATGACAACTTACTTTTTTTGTGTTCAATCTCTTAACAGTTAGACACTGAAAAAGCTTAAATTAACTCAATGAAATTAAATGAATACTTAAATATTTGCTCCTGGTCCATTTAGTCAAATAAATACATATTTCTGTTTTTTCCTTCTATCTCTTAGCTTGTTGCAAAACTAAAGGAGTTAACATGTTAGGAAACGCCCTTAAAACTAAGGTTAAAGGATATGACACACTTGGGAGCGCCCTCTTTAGGGCCTCTGAAGCTTAGTCACAGGCTAACAAAGGAATTTACCAACAGTTACTTGTTTCCATTTTATTGTGCTAGCTCCTAAACATAGCATGAGAAATGGACCAGCTGTATTTTGGTTTTAATAAATGGAATTTATGACTTCCACTCACTGACTGTTCTTCAACCTCGTACATGAAGAACCAAGCATGGAGACAGATAATTCTCCACAAAATGGAGGCCCCAGCCAGGATGCATGGAGGTTAGTGATTGGGAAATTGAGGATAGCACACCAAAAGCCGAACTGTTCGTCAACCAGTAGATTTAAAAAATAAAGAGGTCCTTTTGTTTGTGTAATTAAATGTAACTAAATTGAGAGGATTGGTGTCTGAAGTGCTCTGCTCCAACATTGAAGAGTACAGAGTAGTTTATGGTGCAATAAGTATTTAATGGAATAAAAGGAAGAAGATGCATCCCAGTTGCCAGTTGCATTATGCATAAATTGCATAATGCCAAGTTAGTGTAGCATGACATACTAATGGATCATCAGGTTACAGTGCAGCAGCACCACCTGGATGCTCCAAAACCAAAAGGCAGAGGAAATTATATTTGCTGCATGTTCCACAAATTGTACGACAAGTGATTATCTGAGTGTGACAGAAAACCAGCCAGACAGTTCACAATATTTTTGCATTAAAACCAAAATAAAAAAGACCATAAATTAACTTTAATGTTCTTGTTATTCAGCAGACAAAATTAATTTAAACAGCCAACAGAGACTGAAAACCATCAGTAGCCATCAATATTGATGGCTCCTGATGAATGATTGGATTTTGGAAGAGCAAAGAGTAAAAAAACAAAAACAAATTCATGATATTAGTTTTCGACCTCAGCCAAAATGATCTCCTCTGGACAAAGTGTGGTAAGCATTTGGTCCGGACCGTTAACGGACATGGACCTGATGTATTTTCTTTTCAACCCGACACCATCAGAAAGAAAACAACATCACAGCTCTATAAATGGTGACAAATACAGAAATCTCAGTTAATTCTTAGGCAGAATTGGTTCGGAACCAGAGAGGATCAGAGTCTGCCTTTCTTCAGCCTTTCTTCAAAAAGTGACTTCCTGTCATAAGTGAATGAGGCTAAGGTGATGCCATCACTTGAACATAATGTGACCGGTTCCTGATCCCAACCAGAAAATAGAGAAACTAAATTATAATGGGAGACATCAAAAATATTGGGCTGATTGCACCAGCAAAACACTGGATGTAGCCCAATAGGGTGAAGACTCCCTGTGACCTCGTGACAGCTCTACGCTAGGTTCTAGATATTGACTAGTTTGGCGAATTGTTTCTGCTGATTTTATTTTGCTGTTAGGTTTTCCTCCTTCTAACTTCTAAATTAGAAAATATTTTCAAAATGCTCAAGCAATCTTCGTTTAGAATGAAATTAAGACAGAAACACCAAGATTCTGCGGATTGGACTGGAGATATGATGTTTAGAGGAGGACAAGATTCCTGGCAACATCTGGAAGGAGCAGTCTGCAAGATAGCTCAGGATACATATGGACATACTCAATGATTGTTGTGAGGTGATATTCATATCCAGTCTTCTTCTGGAAACAAGCTAATGTATTTGGATTTATGGAAAACAAACCATTTCAACAACCTACATATTGAAAACCTGAGACTTGACTTACGAGCTCAAGGTGAATGTTGCATAGAAGATGCTGTCGGTCACGTTATTTTCATCTTGGAGAAAAAAGACATCCTGCACCACAGACTCTGAACCTTCATGTCCAAACGGGCAGTCCAGACGGGCTTTCAGAAAAGAAGTCCACTTTCTCTGCAAAATTCTCAATCCTCCCAAGTCACTCTGAATCCGCACAGATGTCAGATTTTAATACTGATTCATGTGATGTTTTAATGGAAGTTTGACATTTAGAGACATACTTTACACACTCGTGCAACTGTTGACAGTCGCAACTTGTTGCGTTGATTCCTGTTTTCGATCTCTGTGAGGAACAAGAAGACGCTGTCGTCCTCGTTGTTGTTTGAATGTTTGCTGATTTCAGCAAACTTAATGGAAATTATGGTGGGTTCTGATAACAAATCATTTAAAATGTATCGTTATATTTGACAAGATTTCATAGTTAAAGAACCTTTAACTGTGTCAAGCGGCCACCTCACCATTGAGCCAAGACCATATTTGTTCAGTCCTCAGGGAAGGCTTCCCATGTCTTTGGAAAAATGTTACTGTTCCCAGGAAGTTTATAGAGCCAGCGGTATACAACGAGTTTCCTGTTGAGAACAGAGGAAAAGTTTGACAATTTCTGAAGCAAATCATTACAAAAACATTCTTTCAGTATGAGTGGGATCCACTGAAATCACAACTCTTGTTCTGGATAGTATGAGCCATGTTTAGGTAGAGTTCATTATGTTATTCTATGTCAGTTGGCACAGGATTAAATCCATATGAATCTGGAGTGAAAGTAAGACATACAGCAGAAAAAAGTGACTTCCTGTTATAAGTGAATGGGGCTAAGGTGATGCCATCACTTGAACATAATGTGATCAGGACAAGTCTGTAGTGAGACATTGTTAATCTGATGCTGCTGTGACCTTGCAGGTGGAAGTTATTGAACCTTGATGTTTAATAGAAAATAGTCAAATTTTGACACTAAGCCACACCCACATATTTTGATGTATGAGAAATCTTTTGATAACTTTTGAACTTCAATGCCTCAAGAGTGTGCTGAGTGATTCTGAAGTCTATATCTGAAAAACTGTAGAATGAGCTTGATCAGATACGTCTAAAAAAAAGAAAATGAGGGCTGTGATCCAACTTCCTGTTGGGTTAAACCATGGCTTCAAGAGACTTTTTTGTAGGTCATGACAAGATACACTAAGTTTCATTATTCTAGGTTAAAGTAAGGCTTCCTTGACAGCATGCGGGGCTGTCATGGAAAAATTACAATAAGGTCACATCTGCTAGTCATTTCATAGGAAATGTTTAACTCTTACCAAAAGAACTATTTGGGTTACTTGTACGAGGTTGGAAGGTTGTTTTCAACTGCTGCGTAAGGAACAGATCGTCTTGCTCCTTGTTCTCCTTCTTTATCATCGTATAAAAACTTACATGTTGTCTCTGCCTTGCAGAGCTTAGCAAGCTGAGTGAACTGGATTAGCCATGCATCCAGACTGGCTTGATTATTGATTGTCTTATGAGCTCTCTGTATGGTGCACAATACACGAATAAACCTGATTGAGTGATTCTACCTGGACAGTGCTTGGAAATAGTTTCATCCACAACAGGGCTGATCATTTAAAATATTCTAGGGAGAGCTATAGAGAACGATTGTTATGGATTCCTGTTGAGAGTTGGATAAGGACCCATCCTCGTGAGTTTGGTTCAGTTTGGCTCGAAACTGTGGAATTTGGAGCCAGACGTATGGCAATGGCGTTAGAGGTAACTTTGCCACACCACCATACCCACCTACTTCATTGATTTTGGTCAAGCCTGGAATCCACAACACACCAACATGTCTTTTGTCTTTGGACACAGTTTCATGTTGATTACATCAAAGGGGTTAGATAGCGACTGTTCACAGTAAAACATGACAGTTCCTGTTCTCACGGGTCGTGGCCTATATGATGTCATCATTTGACCATTGGGTATTGTAGTGCACCTGATGATCAATCACTGAAAGTTTGGTGCCTCTGAGTTTTTGTGTACGATATAAGAGTTTCGTGTTTCATGGTGAGTACGAACTTTGATCTCTGATAACGCCCCTTGGTCAAAGACTCACCGTTTTGATAACTTTTAATTGGCTGTCTTTTGTACAATCTGAAGTCGATTGATCAAAATCCCAAGGAGTTCGATCAAATGTGGAGAATATAAATGGCCAAAATGGGGTTAAAATTGGAACTTCAATCAAAAATGGCTGACTTCCTGTCTGACTTGCAAGATGACATTAATTGTATGATCTGTGCACCTTGGGGAGCGTCTACAATAGTACCAAATTTCTTGTCTCTATGATGAAGTAAGGTCATAGCGGCGTGTCTTTTGAAAGTTGCTAGGTGGTGCTGTTGAGTCGTTTCTTGTGTGATTCTTGCGACGACTGGAAAGTACATAAATTTCACACAAGTTGTAAGTGTCCGCCAAGTTTGGTGAGTTTTTGAATATGATAAAGTTCCCAAAAACCCCCCCAAAATACCCCTCTGTGGGGGGGCAGAATCGTAAGTAAAGCTGCAAGCAACGTTGTGCAGCCCTCGCACCTCAGGACTGCTCCAGCCTATTTGCTACCGCTGCTCACCACAAACGCTCTTGTGCAGTTCCCATGCCCATCCGCTGGATGATATGCATTCGGCAGCACTCCCCAACGACGCACAAAAAATCTGGCGCAGATCAGCCAAGGAAGCGAGGAGATATAGCTGATGGATAAAGCTTGGAAATGCAGCTTGGAGATGCAGCACAGTCAAATTACATTTCTATGCTGTTGGGCTCTTTAGAGGTGAACAAATGTCACACATATCCACAATGGTGCCAATCAGATGATCCATGTGTGATTTAGAGACGATTGTGTGCACATGGCAAAGGAGCCGCTTCTTGTGCGATTCATGCGACAACCTTAAAATACATAAATTACACGTGGACACAGTACGGCTGTTTGCCCACCTGAAAGCCTGGTAAACTCGAATGGATTGCATACCAAAATCGAAACATTTTTTATGACCGTCGGCTGATGCGATTAATTTTTACACCGAACTGTCAAACAAACCAAACTGAGCAACCTAGTGATGAGTATCAATATTAATTGGCAGATTTCACCTGATTCTCACCTTTTCTGCTATTGTATTTAAGCATGGGGATAAAAATCATCGTACCAACCATTCATCAGGGAAGCAAACTTTTCATCGGGCTTAAAAGGAATTTTCCCCCTGCCATTCTGGAAACTGTCTTCCATGGTCACTTTTCCTTCCTGAAACATCTGAAAAAATATTCAGTATTTATAATAATTTAGAAACTATACTTCTAATTCTTCCTACACAATAAATACCCAATAAATGGTTCTGATACTGAAGGACAACAATTCCAGCCTTAGGCATTGGAGGAACGTACCAGGTGTGTGCAGGTAGGGTCGAATGCTTTGGTTCCACAAACCAGAATTTTGCCATCATCCTGAGTGTGCATCATCGTGATGTAGTTGTCACATTCCTGTTAGAAGAACAGCTATTTCTCCAGACTATGTTAAGATGAGGGAGAACATTTGACATTTCCTTATTTTAATGAGCTGTAGTGTACCTCGATGCTCCTGCCTTTCACCTTACACAGAGCTTTTTCTCTAGAGGTCACCATCCAGTTAATCTAACAAAAAGACAAATCAGGAAGTCAACATGTTTATGAGGAGATGCATGCGAAATTCCTTCATTAGGTATGAATCTAAAAAGAGGAATATCTATCAGGGGTGCACAGTGGTGAAGTTGGTAGCATTGTTGCCTTGCAGCTTGAAGGTCCTGGGTTCGATTTCTGACCCGGGGTCTTTCTGCACAGAGTTTGGATGTTCTCCCTGTGCATGCATGGGTTCTCTCCGGGTACTCCGGTTTCCTCCCACACTCCAATAACATGACTGGCATTCTCCGTAGGTGTGAGTGTGTGTTGTCCTGTCTGTCTCTGTGTAGCCCTGCGACAGACTAGGAACCTAGCCAGGGTTACCCCGCCTCTCGCCCGGAACGTTAGGTGGAGAAAGTCACCTGCACCTCCCAACCCCACTAGGGACAAGGGTGTAAGAAAATGGATGGATGGAATATCTATCATAAGGGGTGCATTGTGTAAGATATTGTGTATCTTTTGTAAAGATACACCATAAATATCTAACAGAGGTAATTTGGTTTATTATTTGCCATATTTTCCAAACTATAAGTCACTCTGGAGTATTAGTCGTATTTTGGGGGAAAATTTATTTGATAAAAACCAACACCAAGAACAGACATGTCATCTTGAAAGGCAATTTAAAATAAAAATAGAATAGAGGCAACAACAGGCTGAATAATTGTACGGTATGCTAACGCTACATGACACATAATGAACTGAGAACATGCCTGGTTTATTAACATAACATCCATCCATTTTCTGAGCACCCTTCTCCCTAACGGGGTTGGGAGGTGCTGGTGCCCATCTCCAGCTGCGCTCCGGGCGAGAGGCGGGGTCACCCTGGACAGGTCGCCAGTCTGTCGCAGATTAACATAACATATTAAGAGTTATTCATATAACTATAGCATAAATAACATGCTAACAAGATTACCAAACCAACCGTGTCAATACAAATCACTAAATCTTCATCTTCGGTGAAGATTTACCTCCGCTAAATCCGGAGGTAGCTTCTACCACACACATTATCCACACAGGCCTCGAGCGCCCTCTTGTGGTTTAGTGTGAAAATAACATGTGATATGATGTAATAATGTGTTGTTAATTTCACACATAAGTCGCTCCGGAGTATAAGTCGCACCCCCGGCCAAACTATGAAAAATATTGCGATTTATAGTCTAGAAAATATGGTAGTCTGCAGTAAGTTCAACCTTAAGAGACTCACACACACACACACACACACACAAAGAAAGAATAGGTATTAAAAGGTTTTTATTGGCAAATGATATTTGCCAATTAGAATGGATTTGAATCGGTTTTCTCTTTGTCAAAACCACAATTCATGACAAGGAAGAGATATGAGACTAAGAGTTCATGGATGCGGGACAGCTTTTCAGCCGGAAGTGAGGCTGCCATGAACTCAGAGTCTCGGGTGAAGCCTAGAAACTCTGGTTGGCTGATGAATTTCTCCTTGGACAATGGAACCCTATATGACAAAGGAACCCTACATGACTCAACAACCGTTGGAGAATACCTAATACCAGGGGAAGCAGCAGGGGGATGATTGAGGAGGAAGTCATCAAGCAGGTCCAGGGCTGAGGGTAGATTAGAGATGTTGAGCAGAATCCAACAGAGAGCTTGGGAGACATTATTGAAGTGGCAAGAACTACTCCTGCACCTGAAGGTGAGCCTGACTTTGAAGTAAAAACAGTTATCCCATTTTGCTCCCAGCAAGTACCACAAAGAAGGTGCATGGGCATGACCTTCTTTGTGGTCATGCCCATGCAATATTGGCAATATTGGCCTTGGCGAGCCAAGCACCTCAACCCGTGATTTTTATGAGGGCAATTGCATAATGAATGGAAGCAGAGTACAATGAGAATGGGGGGTTTGGGAAGAAGAGAGTTAATGGTCAGATATGGGTTGGAATGAGGATGGATGCAGGATGGATGCGAGGACAGACTGACTTAAGTTGTTCTTGCTTGAACAGGCTGCAGACATGAAGAAAATTACAAAATGGAAATGAACCGGAGCTGTCATTAAAGTTAGTATAAATGGGGTTTTTATTGAAGACCTGAACTCTTCTTCCGCTGCAATCCATGGTTAGAGGGGGCTGGAAGTTGATGTCAGACAGGAGTAGGAAGCAGCGGAATGGAGGGGCAGAGGGAACTTTGATGGCCGACAGAGACGCAGGAGGAACAGGAAACAGCTTGGGTGAAAATGATGAGAATTGTCGTATCAAGAACAGACCAATCTAAGCAAACACCAGATTGAGATTGAACTTAAGTGGCATTAGAAGTGGAAGCTTTGTGATAATGTTAAAAAAAATGGAACAACTGTACTTAATATGCAAGTCTATGATAAGGGACAAATAAGCATCAAGTTTCACCCTATGATTGGGATAGATAGAGCAGAAGAAAATAGATGGAGCGGTGGTTGAAACCAGGTGAGAATGAGGGGAGCCCCGGTGGCATTTGGCAGGGGGATCGGAGGATTTTTGGAGCGCTAGCCAGATGCCAATGAAGTAAGAGGAGGAGGCCAAAGAGGAGACGGGGAGGAGTCCTGAATGGGGAGAAGGGCGGCAATGTTGGAAATACAGGTCGGAAATACCTGCTGATCGTAGTACGGAAGAGGGAGAAGGTTCATCGGGGCAGCCTGCCGAACAAGTGCTTCCGTAAGGTGGGGGAGGAGGAGAAGCACCAAGAACCTCCAAGATGAGATTGCTGGAATCGAATTTGGGACATGGAATCAGACAATGACTGGTCAAAACTCGGCCAAGGAGCGGGTGAAGACGAGATGCTGGATCTTATCAAGGGCATGATGCTTGATGATTGGAGGAGATGAGGAAAAGATTATCATCGATTGGCTCTGATCAATGCACATAATGATGATGCCCATTTTTTCCTCCCATGACAGGCTAATTAAGTCAAATTCTTACAGTTAATTATTGACTCAATCAAATTTTATTTGTATAGCACATTTCAGCAGCAAGGCATTTCAAAGTGCTTTACATCATAAACACAAAGTCATGCAACATATAATAGACAATACATTGTTACATATTACATTTCAAAAACAATTCTAAACAGGTGTGTTTTTAATTGCGATTTAAAAGAAGTCAGGGTTTCCACTGTTTTACAGTTTTCTGGAAGTTTGTTCCAGATTTTTGGTGCATAGATGCTGAAAGCTGCTTCTCCTGGTTCTGGTTCTGGGGATGCAGAACCAGAACCAGAACCTGAGAGTCTGGAAGGTTGATACAACAACAGCAGATCTTTGATGTATTGTGGTGCTAAACCATTCAGTGATTTATAAACTAACAACAGTATTTTAAAATCTATTCTTTGAGCTACAGGGAGCCAGTGGAGGGACTTTAAAACTGCTGTTATGTCTCTATCTTCCTGGTTTTAGTGAGAACAGGAGCAGCAGCTTCTGGATCAGCTGCAGCTGGAGGATTGATTTGTTGGACAGGCCTGTGAAGACGCTGTTACAATAATCAATGCGACTAAAGATAAACACAGGGATGAGTTTCTCTAGATCTGGCTGAGACATTAGTCCTCTAATCCTGGAGATGTTCTTCAGGTGATAGAAGGCTGACTTTGTAACTGTCTTTATGTGGCTCGCAAGGTTCAAGTCTGAGTCCATCACTACTCCCAGGTTTTGGGCTGATTGCTAGTTTTTAGTTGTAATAACTGAAGCTGTGCATTGACTCTAGATCTATAGCTCTAGATCTATAACTCTAGATCTATAGCTCTAGATCTATAACTCTAGATCTATAGCTCTAGATCTATAACTCCAGATCTATGACTCTAGATCTATAGCTCTAGATCTATAGCTCTAGATCTATAGCTCTAGATCGTTCCTCTTTAGGTCCAAAAATAATGACTTCAGTTTTGTTTCTGTTCAGCTGGAGAAAGTTCTGGCACATCCACACATTTATCTGTTCTAAACATTTATTCGGTGATCGGATGGGGTCAAAGGTCACCTGGTGACATCGTAATGTAGAGCTGTGTGTCATCTGCATAGTTATGGTATCTAATATTATTTCCTGTTATAACCTGAGCTAGTGGGAGAATATAAATATTAAATAAGAGGGGTCCTAAGATTGAACTTTGGGGTATCCCACATGTGACCTTTGACCTCTTTGATGAGAAGTTTCCAATTGAAACAAAGAAATCCCTGTTCTTTATACAAGATTCAAACCAGCCGAGCACCAAACCGGAGAGTCCAACCCAACTCTCCAGTCGATTCAGTAATATGTCATGGTCGACAGAGTCAAAAGCTGCACTGAGGTCCAACAGAACCAGCACCGTGGTTCTCCCACAGTCCGTATTTATATGGATATCATTGAATACTTTTACGAGGGCAGTGTCCGTGCTGTGGTGAGCACAAAAACCAGACTGGAAAGTGTCAAAGCAGTTGGTCATCATGAGGAAACTATTCTGTGACTGTGTAACTCAAAAAACGTTCCACCATACTCTCCTTTTGCTTCTTGTGTATTTTCATTGATGTTTCACCACTTAAGCCCAGTTCCTACCTCACTGGTCTTTTCAGTGATGTCATCCAAACGGAGCGTCATGACCTTTCCTCTGGCTCCGATGAAGAGCAGACCGATGTCTTCTCTCACCAACAGGGAGCTCAAACCGTCAAAGTCAGGCTTCTTAAACAGCTTCAGGTTAACACCTGAGGGAAAGAATCCAACCGTTATCCTCAGGCTACTTTAGAAATCAGACCATTTAGTTCTCTGCATTCTATTTAGAGATATCATAGTAAGAGGGGGTAGACAGCATCTTCATTCTACACTCATATTACTTCTATCCATTTTATGCAGTGCTTTGAGTTGGCTTGTCATTCAAAGTCACAATGAAGCACTAGAGATTTTATTTACAACCTGCTAAAGTGAGGAAAGGTCCACAGGATGTGAATACTTCTGCACTGGTCTGGACATTTCACTGCTGCTGAGAAGATGCCTCACCTGAGAAGGAAACGCTCCGGCGGGGTTTCAGGCTTTGGGCAAATCCTCCACTCATAATGATCAGGACACAAAGGAGCTCTACCTGACTCTTCATCATACCCTTAAACAGGAAATAAAGAAAAAACATATTTTCTATGACAGTTATTATGGAAACAGCAGTTTTTGTCCTGTTTTATAGTTGGACATCACAGGCTATTATAGCTAGAAGTTTTCAGGTGAAATGTCTCAAAAACATGATAGATTTATAAATTATAAAATGAGTCATTTGAAGTATCTTATTTTTCTCAGGTCTTTCAATCATCATTTTTTGAATTGGTAAATTATTTACTGCTTGGGTAGTACATTTCACAATAAAACATGTACAGCTGTGGTCAAAAGTTTACATACACTTGTATAAAACATAATGTCATGGCTGTCTTGAGTTCCCAATAATTTCTACAACTCTTATTTTTCTGTGATAGGGTGATCGAAACACATACTTGTTTGTCATAATAAACAGTCATAAAGTTTGGTTCTTTCATAAATTTACTGTGGGTGTGTTGAAAATGTCACCAAATCTGCTTAGTCAAAAATATACATACAGCAACATTGTCCCTTCGCCATTTTCACGGCAACTAGGCGCTTTTGGTAGCCATCCACAAGCTCCTGGCAAGCTTCGAATGTTTGACCACTCTTCTTGACAGAATTGGTGCAGTTCAGCTAAATGTGATGGTTTTCTTGCATGAACCCATTTCTTTAGTACTGTCCACATGGTCTCAATGTCAGGACTTTGGGAAGGCCATTCTAAAACCTTAATTCTAGCCTGGTTTATCCATTCCTTTACCACTGTTGATGTGTGTTTTGGGTCATTGTCCTGTTGGAACACCCAACTGCGCCCAAGACCCAACCTTTGGGCTGATGGTTTTAAGTTTTCCTGCAGAATTTGGAGGTCATCCTCCTTTTTTATTATCCCATTTACTTTCTGCAAAGAACCAGTTCCACTGGCAGCAAAACAGCCCCAGAGCATAATACTACCACCACCATGCTTGACAGTAGGCATGGTGTTCCTGGGATTAAAGGCCTCACCTTTTTTCCTTCAAACATATTGCTGGGTGTTGTAGCCAAACCGCTCAATTTTTGTTTTGTCTGACCGCAGAACTTTCCTCCAGAAGGTTTTATCTTTGTCTATGTGATCAGCAGCAAACTTCAGCCAAGTCTTAAGGTGCCTTTTCTGGAGCAAGGGCTTCTTTCTTGCACGGCAGCCTCTCAGTCCATGGCGATGTAAAACATGCTTGACTGTGGAGACTGACACCTTCGTTCCATCAGCTTCCAAATCCTTGCAGACCTGCCTTTTGGTGATTCTTGTTTGACTCTTGACCATCCTGACCAATCTCCTCTCTGCAGCAAGTGATAGCTTGCATTTTCTTCCTGATCATGGCAGTGACACAACTGTTCCATGCACTTTATACTTGCGAATAATTGTCTGCACAGTTGCTCTTGGGACATGAGGCTCCTTTGAAAATGCTCCAAGTGACTTCCCTGACTTGTTCAAGTCAATAATTCGCTTTTTCAGATCCACACTGAGTTCCTTTGACTTTCCCATGTAGCTTTTGAGGCTGAGTCTGATCACTCAGCCTCAAAATGAGCCCTATTTCAATGGGCTCATGATAAGTGAACAGCAGTAGTCAATCAGAATCACTTACAAGAAGTGAAGAGGCCATGACATTAATCAAATTTGATTGACACAACTCTCTACGTCACCAAAATTGACAATTTATGTTGCTGTATGTATATTTTTGACCCAGCAGATTTGGTGACATTTTCAGCAGACCCATAATAAATTTATGAAAGAACCAAACTTTAAGACTGTTTTTTTGTGACAAACAAGTATGTGTTCCGATCACTCTATCACAGAAGAGTTGTAGAACTTATTGGGAACTCAAGACAGCCATGACATTATGTTTTTTAGAAGTGTATGTAAACTTTTGACCACAACTGTAAGTAAAGCTCTGGATTACATCATATAAAAAGCATGTACGCTTAAGAAGAGCATTCTTGAGTACGGTGGATTAAAACATTTCATTTTGTCAAAAAAGGTTGTGATGGCTTACCTGGTATGGGTGATTATGTAGAGGCAACTTACTTCTGATAACTCAGAGGAACCAAAACATGTTTATTTTTAAAAGCAGGTGCAGCATCCTTTGAAGGCCAGATTTGTTGGCGGTTGCATTGTAACGTGGCAACAGGGCCTGTCTGAATTCAAAGACTCTAAAGACTTTTCCAAATGCGTCCGGCTACATCTTTGGCTGCTCCAGGTTGTTCAGTGATACGGCCTGATATCCTCTTTAGTGTTCAAGGCATGTCAACTGGTGAGAGTCATAGTTTGAGGCACATGGTCCCTGATGTGGTGCAATACTAGGCGCTCAAAGCACTTCATAATTACAGGAGCCACCTGACAGTAATCATTCAAACTGATGATGGGAGACTTCTTTGGCTCAGGGATCATTGTTGTTGATTTCAGGCTGGGTAGGATGACTGTCTGAATCGGGGGCGGTTAAAGATCCTGGGAAAGATGGGTGCGAGCTAATAGGGTAGGCACACGCTTTGAGCACACTTGACAGGCAGAAGCACACTTCTGACAGCATGCTGCTGAACAATGAGTGGAGTGGTGCATGAACCCAGTTGGGCAGGGCTGGAACAGAGGAGTGTTTCTAATAGGTTTCAAAGCAGGCAAAGAAGCAATTTAATTCTGTGTTCAGACCAAACGTAATTTGAGTATCAGGTGTGTCTGGTTTACAGTAGCTTTGTCCAAATTCATGATCTGCATCCTTTGCAGGACCCAGTCTACGTTGGACAGGTCTTCTGCAAGCCGAGAATAAACGATAGAAACGATAGAAGCCCCAGTTTCACAAAGGTACAGCCTTCACAACTGTCTCTGCCCCCACCTCAGCGTAATTTATGTTGCTTAGTGTGAGCAGCAGAGTGAAGAAAAAAACAAGGGAGCCAAAGTTTGTTTGTTAGCCATGTTTTACTCCTGATTTCTGTGTTATTCCTTACTTTTTGTAGTAAAGGGTGCTCCATAGTAAAAAAAAGAAATCTATTAGTTTGATTCTAAAATGTTTGATTGTGTATAGGACATTTCTACTAGAGATAAAAAGAAGTAAATTATAAATTTTAAAATCTAATACTCTCCAGACCTCAGATAAGACAGAGTTAAATAAAACTAGTATTTATTGTTTGACATCTTAACTTTCACCAAACAAACCGATTTGCTCAGTAATAAATGAAATACTTTAGTAAACCAAAGATTTTACAGCTAAATTCTACTTGTCTGAATAATGTTTTTAACTTCCACTCATTGGGAAAAGCTGGGAGTTTTTATAACAATGTGTTGGGAGTCTCCTGGTACAGCTGGCAGCTGGCAAGGGGACTGGCAGTTAATCCAGTGGGAACAGACATCTCAGAAAAATTCAGAGCGATATGCAATTAGGTGATGTATTAATAAGGTATTGTTTGAGACTCTAACATTTATATTCTCACCAGGTAACTTAAAAAGTCACTTCAAGTGTAATAGCAGAATAATTTGCCACTCTTCTTTGCCATTGCCACTTTTCCTTGAACGCCCAGTTTGGAACCGCTATAAATTATGGGATACGTTTCATGTATCTAGTGTTGTGTGGTTGAACTGTTTCAAGAATTTTGAGTGTTCTATGTTCAGCCAAAGCAATCAATACTGAAGTTGGAAAGTCTTTTGCTGCTGGACACAGAGCATCAACCAATCAGAGAGACTCTGCTATGAGACATCTGGGGTAAAATGTCAACCGTCTGACTTCGGTGCACACGCATCAAACTTGAAGCATCCAATGTGTTTTTAAAGTGCAAACGTGTTCAGTGTGAACACAGTCTAACTCCTTGCATTTAAATGCAAGACATTAAATGTCTTGCATTTATTCACGTAAAAATTTTCTGTATTTTTTCAGTGTATTCCGGTGGCCAAACAATGTTTTGTTGCCAAATTCACTGTTGTCTCATTCACTGATAACAAAGTAGGTATAAGTCAAAGTGTAAGTTGGCCAGACTAATCATTTTAGGCATTTATTTTTGGATTGAATTAATAATCTATAGAAATAGTTAAAGGCTGGGAGATCTTTATTTTCCCCCAGGATCTGTGTTTCCTTTTGGAGCAGCAGGAAGCGTGCCGAATTGAGAAACAGAATGCCTGCAGCCACAGCTGCCCTGATAGCAGGACATCGAAGACAAATGGACAACAGAAGTGTTGACACCCAGCAGGACAAGGCATCAAAGATTAGACTTCCCGAGAAACTCTACATTTATGACTTAGAAGAACCAGAGAGCTGAAGTTTTATGACCCAGAGAGACAACAAACAACTGTTTTTATAACCTAAGGAGATGCAAAGACAGATCCTGAGGACTACGCATCAGAGCAACAGAGACTTGTGACTCAAATGTGATAGCTGCATTCACTGTTTGCCCTTCCTATCTCTAAACAGCTCAAAGTGATTCGTTAACTTGACACCTCATTCATTATAAATAAGCACTTCGGAGTGAACACTGGCAGAGACAGACAGAGAAGAAGTCTGTGAACTACTTTCTGCAATCTTTGGAGTGTATTATATCTTCAATCATCTTTCTCATCGTTCTTTATTTAATGTTTGATTAAATGTTTGGGTTTAGAGTTGACACATGGAATGCTGCTCAAAGTTTAGTAGAACTGGGTTGTTCTTTTATTTCACAACAAATCTGTTTGCAATGGTGATTGACTCTATTACACCCTGGATGCTATGGTTCTATTAGTACCACGATCACTCCCACAGTTGCTACACCGGACATGGTTTGGAGATTTCTGTGTGCATTGTTTGCATATGTGAATTACACCAAGAGCACCAAATGAAACAATGACAAAGGTGTAGCGGTGGAGGTGTGAACTGAAGTATCTTCCGCCCTGTCTTCCAATTTTTACATGGTACCGGATCACAGCCATCCTGTGCTCTCTGCCTTTAACTACTTCCACTGTCTCACAGGTGTAAAGGCCTTCATCAGTGAAGGAAGGTGTTAAAACGAGTCCCTGGCTGAGCAGAATGTGTCGGGGACCGGGCTCAAGGATGTTACCAGAGAAGCTCCAGCTGATGGGGAGATTGGTGTCAGGGGAGCAGGGGAGGAACTGTGCCACGTCAACTGTGAGGTGGATGTCGATAATCTTCTTTGACACTGTGGGAGAAGCCAAAGCAGCCATAAAAATTCTCCTACTACTCTCCTCACTAAGGTAAAGGTGTGTAAAGAGCTTTATGTGGGGAATACTTGCAATGAGAGTTTGGGCAGATTCCAACATCACCATCAGTGAGGTTCTGGATCCTGCAACAAATGAATTCAATCCTCTGATTATAAATGTAGCACACAGTGAACATGTCTTAGTTAGTGTGACATACATGGAGAGGTTTGAAGCACCAGCAACAGCAGCACACAGGCCTCTGAGACGGTCCCAGCCACAGTATGGATCTCTGGCTGTAAGGCAGTCGGCACAGGATGTGTAGCGGCTGCAGTCCCTCACACTGAGCTGAGCAACAGCAGTTCTAGTTGCACTGTACAGCTGACCCTGCAGATCATCAGAGTTCAAAGGTTAGCTCCAGGTCCATTTAGTCTACAGACATGTAGCTGTAACCTACACTTCTAGAGGAGAGCTGAAGGAAGCGAATGGGCTGAGGATCCTGAAACAGCTGCAACTCCTCAATGATTCGCCCTCCATCATCACCAGACCACACCGCCTTCTGCAGCCAACCAGAGTCTGAAGGACAGAACCAGAGGTTAACTCTGGTTTCTACAGGGTAACGTGTAAAGTTACAAAGAATGCTGATAAATATGATTTGGTTTATTTAGCAAAATGGTTAGCTATCTAATTAAAGGTGTGTTTTGCAAGTTACATATTTAGTTTGTGAACTAAATATTTAATCTGGAACTATGATATTTAAGCATGTATAACCTAATGAAAATAGATTTTTTTCTATATTACTAGCTAAATAAATGAAAGTATTGTTGGTACATTTTTAACAGTGTAAGTATACAAACACCACACACACATCTCTCTTATGTTCAGAGTGAAACTGCAGGTAGCATTTGCGTGTTCATTGGTCAATACAGCCATTGCCCAGTCTGATCCTGCCAACAACGCCAACATGTGTTAAGTCATTATATATGATCCATTTACTTACTGTTGCTAATAAACATGATGTTGTGCTGCTGTCCATCCAGAGACGTTACTTTGTCAACAACAATTCTTGAGAACTGAACCATAGACCAGACCAGCAGGGGCTTCCCACTGATCGGTTTCACGGCTTGCTCCATCAGAGGGTGGTCCTTCACAAACATCAGGGTTCTGTCTGGGATGTTCCAAGAAGTCCTCACATTGTTCTTTCGCATTTCATCATTAATACACTGATAATACAGATCAGAGATCATGTGAGACTAATCATTTTATTTACTACCATCTAATATGAGTTTGGGTGTCACGCTTACCGAACCAGGGTAAGTGCTAAATATTTTTCCTGTGTACCTCACCCAGCTGCCAGAATCAGTCGCGGACATAACGTTCCCCCTGTAAACTTGCTGGATGTCTGACAGCTTGTAGGCGCAGACAGCAGACTGACTGCAAGTACTGGACGGCTTCCTGCAAAATAAGTGCTGTCACTACCAGGTCAAATAAAACATTAACGTGGAGTACTGAAGAGACTACCACATCAGAATGAAGTGTCAGTGCTTACCCACTTCATACAGAAACCTACCCTGAACTCCTGCCAGAGTTCTTTGGAGATCTGATGATCATCTACTCCATTTCACCCCTCACTTGCAGGTGTGGTATGCATGAGCTAAACCAAATTGTTCCCAAGTGGGAAATATTTTCTACCTGGGAATCCACTTAAAAACCACCTAACACATAAAGCTTCCTCTCTCCAGGTTGGTAAATTTGCATGTTAATGAAGGGAAAGATTTGTGGGACAAAGTCCTGTGGACATATGAGACCAGAGCAGAAATGTTTGGAGAATCATACTTCTGGAAATGAAACCTACCTAAGCCCCAAACCAACAGTTAAATGCGGTGGTGGAAAGTGAATGACTTTGTTGGGAACCATGGACTTGGTTCTTTATGGGGATTTT